ATCTATATTTTAATTGATCGTAATTTTTTTTTGTTTCTATAGGGTTTATTTATAAAATATAAAATTTTTTGAATAAATTCAAACAGAAAATTCCAATTTAAAATTTTAAATTCTTTCGAATTTTTTTGATAAATTATTTCAAAGATGGGGGGAAATAAATAGAGAAGAAAAAATGATATATGCATACATATATAATCAAAGAAAAATTTGCCGCGATAAGTTCAAGTCAAAAAAAAATGATAAGAAATCAAAAATATTTGAAAATAACTTACTATTATATCTTTTTTTTTTATATATTCAGTCAATTTTGATTAACCTCACCCGTTAATTATCTATTGATTTCGTTTTAAAGTTGTATAAATTTAAATTAAATCAATTGTATAAAGAAATAGGATAGAATCAATATCAAGTGAAAAAATTGCAGCGTGAAAACGCAAAAAAATCTTGTCAGTAGCAAAAAGATTTTATATAAGAAATTACATTTATTATTTTTTTTTCCAGAATCTGTCTTAGGGATTCCTTTCCTTGCTAATCTAAACCTGCTACTAGATAATTTGAACAATATATATATATATTTACCCAAATGTTACAAAAGGAATTAAACTTATATTCATAATTTCGTCGGCTTTGAATTGGAGTGCTCCTTTTGCGTAAATATTTAAAAAAAAATGAGAGAATCAACATTTTAAATTTTAAAATATAAAATACACGAACTGAAGCTATAATTTTGGCAAAAAAATTATAATTTTTTGACCAAATCTAATTTTTATTTATAAATATATATGTATGTATATGTAAGTAATATATATTGGGAATAAATAAGTTATTATCCACTTCTATACTCAAAAAATTTTTTGAAAATGTCGAACGAAACACTCTATTTCTAGACTAGACCGATGATTTATTATATTTAAAAAAAATATACAATTTGTTATATATAATTTAGAGTTGTTAAACGGCTTAACTCAATATTTTAACCAGAAAAATATTCCCTAAGCTCGCGATAGTCATGACCTTTGTTCTTTCTAATGAACGGTATATGGGTTTGCGGAATATATTTTCTGGATGAAATATTAGTTTGTCGTTTTTAGCAAAGCGGTTTCAAAACGCAAACACTAATAATATAATTATTTTGTAAAACTTTATATATTTTCATAGTTTACGTAATTGTAATATACATTTGTTTTTATTAATATATAAAAACAATTAAGAAATTATAATTATAAATATAAAATATACAAAAGAAGAGTGAATGCCTAAAATTGGACCGGCAGATTTCCAGGGAAATCTGCTGACGAAGGTAAAATTCTTCATTGGGGTCCCTTTAGATCTGCCTCATTTTTTTTTCCCATGGTTTTAATGAAATTGAGAGCGTCACTTCCAAACATGCTTAGGGTATTGATAACGATTGGGATAAACACGGTGTTGGTGAAGCAAGCATATTTGTTTTTTTTTAGGATTTTGGCCTTTTCGATGGCAGAAAATGGGAGATTGAACTTCGCGGCAAAATCGACACAGGTATATAGTCCCAGGCGAGTGGGAGACCATTGGTCCAGGGAATGAAAGATATACCATCGGAGCGTATGGCGTTTGCGTTTGAGAGGGCCACTGGTTCGAGAGTGGATGGAATATTAACCTTTTTAAGAGCAGCTAGGAGAATGAATGTTGTTAATAGATTTATGACGCGGTTGTCGTCCATGGGAGAACTTGTAGTGCAAGGGATGGTAAGCTTTCGATTCGATTCGATGAGATAGCCGCAGTCGATACAAATGGAGCACAGCATTTTGATATTATATTTATAATTATATGATAAAAAATAAAAATAAACATTTTAATTCCGTTTTGTTAACAGTTACATATTAAAAGTTTACAGTTACAAAACTCGTTATAGTTAGTAAAATTTTTTAGAAAAATAACTATTTACAGTTATATCTTAAAAGCAAGCAGATACATTTAAGTTACTTTATAAATTAATAACTCATCATTATTTAAATACAATTTTTTTTTTTAAATTTTTACAACTATACAAAACTAATGTTAAAGATTTGCAAATTTTATTCAAAAGAATTTAAAAACGAAAATAACAATTTACAATAAAGACAGATCAAAAAAAAAATATTATCTATTTATTTGCGTCGATGTCGAATTACATTGAGTATAATTGTCAATTGAAAAAAAAGTCTATCTAAACCAATGACATATATAATACCTAGACTGATGATTCATTCATTAAAATGCATTTTTAAACGTCGTTAAAAGCAAATCAGCTGGACCCGCCATTTTGGTAACCCATACAGTAATTATTCTCATGTTAAAAACTACTATTAAATTGATAACTTGCTTCCTCATTATCTCGATGATCCGGTAATATCTTTAATAAAGTTTGCATCAGATATAGGAAATAAATTAGACTCTCGTTTAAAATTTTGTTAATGATTAGTGTAACCAAGATGACGTTTCCAGCTGATTTGCACTGCTGTACACTTTTAATGGATGCAGTCTAGGTATTAATGAACAGAAACTATATTCATTATTGACACGATTTAAATGAGTCCTAAAAGATTTGATTTTGACAACATATTTTTTTTGAGAAAAAGACGAGGCTAATAGGATTCGCGTTGATAAACGGGTCGATTTGAAGCCGATTTTTAAAAACGGCTAACTCGATATTTTATCTCGATTAATATCACGCATGCCTGATCATTTTCCTTATAGATGGTAACAAAGATCTAGACATCAATTATCGAAATCTCGAGTATCTGGAGGCTTGGACAATACTTTTGTGGCTAAAATATTGAATTAGCCGTTTTCAAGAGTCGGCTCAAAACGAACCGTTTAGCGACACTAAAAAAGGAATATTAGTAGGCCTTCTTGCAAAATTATTTTTATTAAAAGTTTGTAGAAAAGGGATATTTGGTTGATTTTTACGATTTTCTACCTATCATTTTGGCATTGTTTTTTGTATTAACGAGTGCAAAGATTTTCTCATTTTTTTTGCCATTTTGCTCCTGCCCCTTTATCCCAAGATGTAGTATTTGTATTCGGCTTTAAATTGCTTTAGCCACTTTTTCTCCACACAAAGCTATATAACCTGAGATTAAATTTATTCAAAAGATTATGACCTTATTAGAATATGGATTCATAAAAATTTGTTATCTAAATATCAAAGCAAAAAACCCTCCGAAATTACTAATTTTTTAAATAATGATGTGTCAAAATAATGTTTCGCCATTAACTGCAAAAACATGACCTTTGCCTTCCCACATACATACACTTTAAAAAAAAAATAACCATAAGATCAAAGCCATAAAAATACATATTTTGACAAATATTTTAGGTGACTATCTAGCAGGGATGAAATAGTTATTGGCGTGTTCCTCCCTGCCTGTCATCTGCCCTGAATTTAAGAAAATATTTCTAAAAATATATAAAAATATAAAAAATAATACTACATAGAAACCGTGTATTAGAGTGTAGATATTGCCAAACTCTAAACAGATATATTCATTTTATTTCCGGCCCCCTGGAAAATTAGATTACTAATCTCTAAGCCAACTAATAACTCTGCCAGTGCCAGAAGGAATTATGATTTATCTGCTAGGTTGAGATCAATTTTATTTGCGGAGACACTGCACCCTTTTAAAATATTAGGAAGTTTCAAAATATATTATAAAAAATTTTTAAAAAAACACAAAATTAATAAATTTTTTGTTTTTTTGTTTTTTTGAAATATAAATTATATTCCCTTTTCTCCTATAACTTTTTGTGGTATTTTTAAAAAAATTTATTTAATAATAATAAAAAAAAAAATAATTCAATAATTCTTATTTTTCCGTCATTTTAAAAGGCGAAAAATAAAATTTAAAAAACCTTTCTTTTTTTCCCGTCTTTTTTATTAAACATTCATATTCTCTATATCCGAGACGTGCAGGCCCGGCCCTAAGCTCGACCCGGCCTGCCGGGCCGGATATTTTTAAAACCGAATATTTGAAATCGCCATTATTTTTAGCTATAAAAATCATCCAAGTCTAGCCAGGCCGTGCAAATGGTAACCTCTGTGGGTCCTGGTCTATATATTCATTCCGCTAAAATCTGCATTCCATTATTCCCTTCCTGCATATTGTATTACAATATAATGTATATGTTTTTAAAAAAAATTTTAGCGCATTAAAAGTTGACAATTATTATTTTTTATTTATTTCTTTTTTTTTTGCAGAAAAATATTTCTTCATCATTCCCTCAATTATTTTGTCGTGACTTTATAGATTATAATTAAAACTAGAAATTTTTCTTCTTTTTATTCATCTTTTCATAATGTTTTCAGCAGTTATTAAAAAATTAATAATAAAAATAATATTATTTTATTTTATATGTATAACCAAACTATATAACTATAACTATAACTATACTATAACTATAAAGTATTACAATAAATATATAAACATAATTTATAATACATATAATAACATATATAAATGAGATTTACAATTTATTTTTTATTATATTATAATTTATAATTCCCTATATTTTATTTTATTTTTTTCTTTATTTCTTTCCAAATATATTATATAATACTTTTTCATTATATTAATTTATTATCCATTTTATTCGTGGGGGGAAATGATTTCTTATACATCGGTTTAACTGAACATTTCTTGTAATAAACACTTTATTCCTAATAATAGTAACACTTTGAATTTTCGCTATTATTTCGCAAAATATTTCGCAAAATATATGAAGTCATTTATTAAATATATATAAAGAAGAAAAAAATTATGACCTATAATCCACTATAAAAATAAAAATAAAAAAATTACTTTTACCTTTTTCGCTCTTTCTCATTTTTTCTTCTCTTCTTCTTTATATAAAATATAAAGGAAAATCATTAATAAATTTAATCTGGCACAAAGGAGGATTTAATCTTATGATTTGGATTCATTCTTATTTTAAAAAAAAATTTCCCCTTATTAAATTCCTATTCACTTCTAACAAAAGGGTTTCAAATACCTTAAATTGAGTCATAATTCATACAATGCATCAAATCAAAAATAACTGATTCAAACCATCTACTCTTTTATCCATTCAGTTACATTCGTATAATAATTTCATATTTTTCTTTGGATAGGCCAAAAAAATGCAATCTCGAAAAATGTTTATAAAGGTAAAATAATAAATATATATAAGCTTTATAGTGTAGTTGTTTTGGTCATTATTAGTGAAGGGTTAACAGATGGATTCTATCGGTTCTTAGACCAAGACCGGATCAAACCGATTGACGGACCGGTTATTCAATTTTAGACTAATACCGGATAGAACCGATTGACAGACCGGTTTCTGAGGATCGTTGTCTGGTCAGTGTGTATCGGTCCTAAGATGGGATCGTGGACCATCATTACTCACCAAGACTATAGCGTCTACTTTGTCATCTAATTAGTAATAATAGTAGATTAAAATTAGATTTAATTCGTTATTCAAGGCTGGTTGATAGGTGATCCTAAAAAAGTCCGATTCGCGAAAATAATATTATGTAAGCTCCCGAGATTATGGCAAAATAGAGGTTCCTATCCTTTGCGCCATCTACGGGCCAAATCTCCAAGGCTTACGTAATATTATTTTGGCTACATAAATCTTAATCGGGTAGTTTTTAAAGAATCGACCCTAATCGGGCTTTTTAACTACCCTAAGGGGGTGGGTTAAACCCGCAAAATTCCAAGATTTAAAAAAAACTTTGAAAGTTTTTCCGTATTTTCTTTTTACCTTTATCTGTCATCATTTGTTCTCGCTTTTTGGTCTAGGTAGGTGTCGAGCTCTTGTTATTAATTTTTACGGGATTGGGGGAAGGGGAGGGGGGGGGGGGGTAGGGGTGGGGGTTGGGTTGTTGTGTGTGTTACCCATAAATTACTTCTTGTTCGACTCTGTGGTCTCAATGCCCCAACCAAACAATTTAAAATTTCTAAATCTGAACTCGAGTTCAAGACCCTTCAGGAATTTTAAACTCTATTTAGCAGAAATTTTGATAACGGAAGCTTAATCGAAACTGATTTTCTAAAAAGAGTCCAAATTGTCCCTGGTCATATTACCCCGGCTTCAATGGGTTACCCATTACTTCTTGTTTGACTCTGTGGTTCTCAGTGCCCCAACCTAACACTTTTAAATTTCTGAATCTCTGAATTCTAGTTCAAGACCCTGATAATAATACTTAAAAGAATTGAAAATACCCAATCTAAGGTCTGCGATAAGTGGGGCCTAAATTAGTAATCTAACCTTTCCTCTTTGTTTACCAACATTATACTCATCAAATAATTTTTTTTTAAAAAAGATAAAGCAAAATCCCAAAATAGGAATCAAAAAAACTATTTAAGACTAAATAGGAAGAAATAGAGGGAAGAAGAACCATTTTCGCTTTTTACCGCCAAAAAATGTGGGTAAGAAATATACTTTTTACAGATACTTTTTAACATTTAAATTTAAAAACAAATACTTTTTTTAAAAAAGAACTTCATAAGGTTACATTTTATAATTTATTTAAATTTATTCAAAAAAAAATAGGAAAAAGGAAAGTAAAGCAGATTCTTTTGGCCAAATATAAAGAAAAAAAATTTAATATTTATTTGAACTAACAAACAATAATACTAAAAAATGTTAAAAAATACATATAATTATCATAATCATTTATGCATATTTATTTAAATCGCGTTTGCGCGTAACAAATTTTATGTACTGAGTCGAATCGAATATTAATCTTCGTTTTACGGCCTATAGAAATTGATACGAATATGATTCGAAAAAATCTCTTTAAATTAACTTGTTTTATAATGGAAGAAAAAAGATAATAACCTGAATTACCGCTATTAATTTATTTTTTTTCTATGTCGCGAAATAGAAATTATTTGAGATTTACCTTAAGTTAGTGGTCGTTAGAAAAGCCTGAATCGGAAGTCGAATTTTTTAAAAAATGGCCCGATTAAGGTTATAACCCAAATAGTATTAGGCATAGCCTGATGATTTTGCTCGCAGCTGGGCATTAAGGTTTGGACTAGAATGCTGTTAAATGGCTCGATTTGAGCAGATTTATAAAATTTATTTATATTTCTTTCTTTCTTTCTTTCTTTCTTTCTTTCTTTCTTTCTTTCTTTCTTTCTTTCTTTCTTTCTTTCTTTCTTTCTTTCTTTATTTCTTTTTATGAAAAAATTCTGGCCGGTTTGGGTCGGTCTTGGAAATTTTTTTTTAAAAATATCATATCTAAATTTATCAATTTTTATTGTATGAATTATTTATGTAAAATAAAAATATTTCATTTTATTACATAAGAAACTAAGATGCCATTAAACATATGTTTTTTATTTTGAGTAATTATAAAAATTAATTTCTATATTTAAATAAATTAAGGGCCGGCTCGAGCCGGTAAATTTTTTTTAAAAAAATTTCGAGTTCGGGCCGGTTTTGCATAACTTTTTTTAAAAAAAAATTCGAGTTAGAAAAATTAGGTTCAATGCATATCACAAATTTATATATACATATATTTTTATATAATTTTTAAGGTGTACGGATTAACGTTATTACGCTTAGTTACGATACAAGGCATCTATTCTATATCAATAAAAGGTGATAAAAATTTAATTTATTCTATAATCTAATCTAAAAACCGATTTTACCATAAAATGCTTATGGAGAAACGAAATTCCGTGTTTTAGCTTTTTTTTTAATACTTATTATAACCAGGGAGGAATATGGTTATCTATGGGTTTTGAAGAAAATTTTAAAAATTTCTGAGATTGGTTTCACATGAATTGACAAAATGAGGATTAGAAATCCCTTAAAAAAAAATTATCCCCAAGTTTTATCGACAAATATTTAAGTAACTTTATAAAGTATCTAAATATTAAAAGAAAACGAACTAAAACTTATCCCATAAGCCTGTGATTCCTCTGAGATTGGTAGGGGAAACCAGGACCAGGGATGGTCGGGCCACTTTTTCGTTTCACAAACCCGATATTAAATCATATTCGATTATATACTCTCGAATAAATGAAACATCTTCTGAATCCTAAAAGTACGCCATTTGAAAATATTTATTTAGAAAATTGATCTGGCCCGTAACCCAACCCGGCCCGAAGTTCGATCGGGTATGAGCCGGGTCGGGCCTGATATTTTAAAAAAATTTGGGCCTAGTCAGATAGGGCTTTGGAAATTTTTTTTTAAAATATATTTTAAATTTATCAATTTTATAGAACTAAGTTCGCCATATAACATGTATAACATGTTGTCTTTTATTTTGAGTAATTATAATAATTAATTTCTATATTTTAAATAAGTTCGGGCCGGGCCCGACCGGTGGACCGGGTCGAGCTTGAAAAATTAGGCCCGAAGCCGATCACTAATCATAAATACAATAATTAAGTAATTTAAATTGAAAAATTTTTATATAAAGAAAATTAAATATATTTTACAAAAAAGTATGTTATATTTTATTATTATTTTTTTTTTAAAAAAGTCATAAATTTTTTTAAAAAGGCGGTTTCAATTTAAAAGGAATTAAATACATGAAAAAAAAATATAACCAAAAAAAAAGAATGAAATAATATATTTATATTTTGTAATAGGAAAAATTATTGATAAGCGGCTCGAATTTGAGCCGATATTTAAAAACCGGTAAATCCATTCTAGCCAAATATTGCCCTAAACGTCGAGATTTCGCCAAATAGATGTTCAATTCCTATGTGCCACCTATGATCTAAATCTTTAGGGCTTCTTGCATAATACACTTTCTGGATAAAATATTGAGTTAGCCGTTTAACAACACTAGGAAAAAAACATTTAAAAAGAAATTAAGATGTAAATATATATTTTTTTTATAATAATCCTAGAGAAGAGTGAACGCTTAAAAAAGTTGGGCGTCTGAAAATCTGCAGATGAAGGTAAAATCTTTCACTGGGGTCTTCTGTGAACTATCCCATTTCCCCCCCCCATGGTTTTGATGAAATTTGAGGGCCTTAACTTCCGAACATATTGATAACAATTGGTATAAACACAGTGTTGGTGAGGCCTTCTGCCCTTTTCGATGGCAGTAAATGAGTAGTTAGACTTAGACACAAAGTAGAGTACCAGGTCAGCTGATGACCGTTAGTCCAGGGAATGAAAGATATACGCTTGGTGCACATGGCGTATTTTTTAAAAAATAAATAAAAAACTAAATAATTTTTCAAATCATTTATAAGCCAATCATTGTACGACAATAATTGTATTTAATGGGGTTTAAATTTTCCAGCCTTATAAATTAATAGCTTAAATTAGGATAGCAGGACTAAACATGCCCCGGTTTCCCCTATACTAATAAATTTAAAAAAAATTAAAATAAGAAGAAAATATACAGTAGCGTGGTTAAGATCGCAGCGCAGAGGGCCTCTAATCATACTAAAAACTTTGGTAGGTTCCAGAAAAAAATTTAGAGATTCTTCTAAGACGTGGATTTATTGTCCTTACTGCAACATTTATTCTAACTAGAATTTTCATTTTCATTTTCTTTTCTTATTTTAGTCAGCTGCCCTCTTATTTTAAAAAAAAAGTTAATATAACGCCACTAGAAAAATAGAAATAAACATAACCATTGGTAACTCCCTTTAAGAAAATTATAGTGACTCAATAAATGAACTTTAAAAAGAAATGATATGTTCAAGCAAAGTATATAGGTTCGATTTGCTTTTTTTCAGGTGGTTTTAACTGTATTTAATCCGAATTCCTGGTTATATGCCATTCCAATCCAGCTGTTTTTCGACCGACTCACGGTTTAACAAACTATATTGATACATTTTTATTTTAACAAAAAAATAAATAAATAGCCATGGACATAAGGTCGGGTGCGGGAACACGAGAGATGCCACTCTTAAAAGACAAATACGCTTTCGTACCTAAAGTGACATTTTTCAGCGACAGTTTTGGTGAGGAGTCAATGATGATTGACGACGATTTTAATGGGCGATTTTTTGAAGATATATCTTCGGAAGACTTCGAAGACGTTCCACGTGAAACTTCGAAAACCTCGGAGACAGCGAATAGAAATATCGAAAACAGAAATTTTCCCTCCAGGATCGATTTAGATATCGACGTAAATAATATATTCAGTGGAGATTATAAAAATGGCAAAAAGCCAACCTCTTACACCCTCAGGCTCCATAAAAATTCTAAACTCTACAAGCCTACCCATAAAACGGGAGGAGTCATTAATGGCACAATGAAAAACAATGAATCCAAAGAGGATAATTCATCATTTTTCACCTATTTCGTTCGGAGACACAATGATTCTGTTTTCATGATCAGGACGCCTTTGCGAGACTGCTTTTATCAAGGCTACCTTTTGTCGCACGATAATTCGACCAATAGGAAGGAGCATGGAATCAAAGGATTGACCGCTATATCCATATGCCATGGATTGGTAAGTTAATAGCTTAAATTAAACATTATTTAGTGGGGTCAAGTGCCATATAATATGGGATTAATGTCCTTTTTAAAGGGGCAAAGGATACTAGTAATGTCGAACTCAAGGGGCTTAAACATAATTATCACGTAAAAACATTTTTCATTTTATATCGAAACAAAATATAATAATATTTTTTTAAAACATTTATAAGTTATACCATACAAAATTATACATTGGAAGCGGTTTATCCGGTTAACCTTAAACCTAATAAAGAACGAGTCACACCGTTGACCAAAATATAAAGATCGAATCGGAATGTAGTTTGAATCCATTTTTTGGGGGTTTTAAATACTAAGTCAATGTCATTGTTGTAGCATTTTTCATTACTTGGCAAATAGAGAAATAAATACGAAAATTATATACGCCAACAAAAGTAACAATAAATTTTATTTAATAAAGCTTCATCAGGATTAGATTTAAAAGAAACGTATCTATTAATGATCAACCAAGTTATGCGCTTTAGAAAATATTTTTGACACAGAAAACTCAAATTTGCTAAGGAAAACAAAAATCTTGCTAAGTATAGAAATAGGCATAGGATCTGTCATTAATCTCTGCTCAAAGAAAAATATGTTTTTAAAAAATGGTTTAAAAAACTTATTGTCCATTCCCGTCATTTAAGAGACTTAAAATTTTAAGTATTTCATCCTAGAGACACTTTTTATGTCGTTAATGGCAAAATAAGGAACAGCACTCAAGCTGGGTCCTAAAAAGACTTTTTTTAGTTGGGTCATGCCGGGCCGAATATTTTAAAATTGAATATTTTAAATATCAATTATTTTATTATTTATAAAAATTAATCAATGTGTTTTTTACAACTTTAAATCATTTTTATGAGAGAGTTTTTTTTAAACTTTATTTCTTTCTTTTTTTTAAACTTTCTTTCTTTCTTTCTTTCTTTCTTTCTTTCTTTCTTTCTTTCTTTCTTTCTTTCTTTCTTTCTTTCTTTCTTTCTTTCTTTCTTTCTTTCTTTCTTTCTTTCTTTCTTTCTTTCTTTCTTTCTTTCTTTCTTTCTTTCTATCTTTCTTTCTTTCTTTCACTGAAATTGTAAGCCGCCATGTTTGGAATAATCTATCTTATGAATTTGTAGACAATTTTGCTGCTAACCCTTGAGTCATTTTATAATTTATATTTTAAAAATAAAATATATCGAAAAATTTGATATATAAATTATATTTAAAGTTTTCTAAAGTTCAATGGATAAAAATTATGTCAATTACATTATTGCAACCACGACGGCATATACATTTCCGGTTAAATCAGATTTTGAAATTTTTATAAAACGCGCTCATAACACATTGCCGGGAAAAAATACATTGACGTTAATATATTTTTAAAAAAAACTTGGCCAAATCTTAAATTTTTGCTTTTAAGGAAGGCATCCTGCAATCTTCTTCCGGAAATTTCGAATTTAAGCCGATTAATAATAATCCGCAAGATGGTGATAGCTATCAACGACCACGGGATCTATCGCATATTTTCGGTATGCTGGAATCTAAGCACACGTTGAATCCCATCAAATACAACGACGATTTTGACCCTAACCACCGTAAGAGAGGAGTCAATAAAGGGAGCATTTTCTTCAGGAATGAACACAATTACAACAGGATTACGTCTAACATCACCCAAAAAGTGTCTCATTTGTGCGGAGTAGGGCTGGATCGAGGTTAACCTTTGAATCCCTTCTAAAAATTTGGTTATTTTTTTTAAAAATAGTTTAACCTTTTCAGAAAAAAGCTCAACTCGACCCTAAATATTTTTATAGACCCAAATCAAGACCTAGGTCTGAATTCGACTTCAGGCCCGGGCTGGAGTTTAGGCCGACTTTCAGAGGCTCAATTCTGGAAATTATGTTTAAAGAGCTAACCATGATTTTTTTTGAAAAAGTGACACACTTAAAATAAAATAAGCTACTGAATAACAAAATATGATAATCCATAGATATATTGATTTCACTCTAGGAAGTCGTTATTATTTTTTAAAAAAAATTTAATTTTAGAATATTCATCCACGGGGAAAACTGGGAAAGTTTGTGAAACTAATCATTTTCTAAAATAATAAAATAAACAATAATAAGATTCTAACGGTAATTTTCAAATGGACATGAACGAAATCGAGGAATATAAGATAGGCGAGAGCCATTTTAACGCTCAATTAATCCCCAGAAAGACCTTCACTATCAAAACCGCCATATTCGTGGATTCCTTTCTCTACCAACAACTGCAGGAGAAAGGGTTTACCAGGGACGAAGATATATTGCATTACATTCTCACCATATTTAACGCGGTAAATTCAGGTTGGGGCTTATCCAGAACTGTCCATTTTTTTTAAACTTTCATCCATCGTTAGGCTCTAAACTATTTCTGAAGAAACTTAGTCAAAGATAGATTACAGCTATAGGCCGAATGAAAGTTTAAAAAAAAGAGGATAAACAGTAAACCATATTTTTATTTATAGAATGGAATGCTCTCTACTTGCGGTTATTGCGCAAAAAATCTTTTAAATTATCTGGTAGAGTCTTAAGCCAAAGGGCTTCTTTCTTTTTTTTTTCCAACCCAAAATATTTTTTTTAGGCTACATTCATAGCGGTATTCAACAAAAAAAAAACTAATTAACAGCTGAGCGATTTTTAAAAATTCTTTTTTTTTTAATTGAGAATGATAAATTTCTCTTTTCAGAAAATCTAAAATCTCGATCAGCTGTTAAATGGTGTTTTCCATCTATTTTTTTTTGAATAGATGGCTCAATTATTTATTTTTAAATTTTTTGATGAGCATACTAATTAATGACCAAGCCGAATAATTCGGTTCAGTGTTGTTAAGCGGTTCTATTTGAGCCGATAATTAAAAACGGCTATAACTCGATATTAATTTATTTCGGCTATAACTCGATATTAATTTATTTCGGCTATAACTCGATATCAATTTATTTTTTAACATGAAGAACATTATGACAATTCTGAAGATTTTCCTCGTTGATTGGTTCCACGAAGGTTTGCTCATCTGATTAGCGAAATCATGAGGGTAGGCCTAAAATATTGAGTTATTAGCGGTTTTTAGAAAATCGGTTTAAACCGAACCGTTTAAAAAACGCTGAGTCTCTTTTGATTCCCACCTCTTTCTAACCTTGTAAAAAACTGATCGTTATCACGAATGGAATGACATTAGAAAATTTTTTTTTCCTTCTTTTTTTTACTTTTATATATAAAACACAAACAATATATTTTTTAAATATTATATAGATTAACATATATATTTTTAATTAGGTTAAAAAAAGATGATATATTAAAAAAAATAGCGATAAAAAGGTATCTCATAACCTAAATTTATTACTTAAAAGAAATTTTTTATATATATCTTACGAAAAAAATATTTTTTTTAATAGAATTTCACCGCAGATTGTTTAAAAAAAAATATATTGATTTAAAGTTTGTTAATATAAACAAAAAAAAATTATTTTATTGCCATGAAGGTCCGGGGTTAACATGATCAATACAAACTTCGTGTGTAATTTGAAAAGAGAACTAATATATTTTATAGTTTTTTTTTTTTTTTAAATTTATAAATTAATATTATGATTGATTTGATTTCATCGAAATATTATAAGGTAAATATAGCAAAAAATAATATTGATAATAAGAAACACAATCAAATATTATATCATTTATTATATATGTAATTTTATTTTTGAAATTAATTATTTGTTTGTTTTATCCGTTTCATCCTTAAATCTTAATTAACCCTCATTCAGATCTGGTAAAATAAAATAAAATTAATTATTAGTAGCTCAATATATGGTATATGTGTATGTGTTGCTATATATAAGATCATTATCCAGACTTGAGTCCTATATTTAATCGAATTATTAACATTGACACTAATTTAAGAAATTTTTTAAAAAAATACCCTTAGTTATAAGAAGGTTAATTTATCATTTTATTATCTTATGTATAAATACATACAAATCTTAAGAAATTAAATTTGAATATGTCTCTAAACATTTGAGTTCAGCATCTTAAGCGCCCTCAACTCTTACAGCAGAGAAGCTAACCCTGACCCCGAGACTCTAATCTAATTCGTCATTTTACAATCACATTTATTTCCTAACAATCATAAACGCATATATGTTATACTAATAAAATTGTCATCATTACTATTTTTCGCTTTTAAATCTAATTCAATATCAAAATATTGATTATTCGTGGGGATTCGGAATTCCTTGATCTTAAATCCCTTACCGAGGGCCATTTAAAAAATTTCAAAATCCAATTTAACCGGAAATAGATTCTAAGCATGTGTAGAGTATTTACCCTACATATTTCAGCCAATTTTGCCACGAACTTTAGAATAGATTTTTCATAAATTTTAAAAAAAAAAATACTAAAATGTCTTTAGCTGAAATTGGCTGAAATTTATAGGAGCAAATACTCTACACATGCTACAATGCATTTCCGGTTAAATCGTATTTAAAATTTTTTTTAAATGGCCCCTCGGTAAAGGATTTAAAATCCAGAGTTTCCGAATTCCCTATACGACATACGCATTTTATACATCATATATAATTTATCATTTTCAGGTTCAACTTTTATACAATCACAAATCACTCGGCATTTCGATCAATTTGGTGTTATCCCATTTCGAAATAATGAAAGAAAAAAGGGTAATAATATATTAATGAAATACAAATAAAAAAAATATTTTTTTACGGGTAATTAAAATGGCGTCCACAGCTGTTTTCACACTTTTTAATGGATACATCGTCATTCTATGGTAATAATTTAAATAATTTTTTTAAAATAATGATACGGGTATAATTAAAATGGCGTCCCCAGCTGTTTTCATTGACGTACACCTTTTTAATGGATACATGAATTATATGTCATTGGTCATTTATAAATAATTTTTTTTAAATAATGATACGAGTATAATTAAAATGGCGTCCCCAGCTGTTTTCATTGACGTTCACTTTTTAATGGATACATCGTCATTCTAAGGTATGAATTATATGTCACTGGTCATTTATAAATTATTTTTTTTTTAATAATGATACGAGTATAATTAAAATGGCGTCCTCAGCTGTTTTCATTGGCGTACACCTTTTTAATGGATACATCGTCCTTCTATAAGGTATTAATTATATGTCATTGGTCATTTGTAAATAATTTTTTTAAATAATGATACGGGTAATTAAAATGGCGTCCCCAGCTGTTTTCATTGACGTACACTTTTTAATGGATACATCATCATTCTAAGGTATGAATTATATGTCATTGGTCATTTATAAATAATTTTTTTTAAATAATGATACGAGTATAATTAAAATGGCGTCCCCAGCTGTTTTCATTGGCGTACACCTTTTTAATGGATACATCGTCCTTCTATAAGGTATTAATTATATGTCATTGGTCATTTGTAAATAATTTTTTTAAATAATGATACGGGTAATTAAAATGGCGTCCCCAGCTGTTTTCATTGACGTACACTTTTTAATGGATACATCGTCACTCTAAGGTATGAATTATATGTCATTGGTCATTTAAATATAATTTTTTTAAAATAATGATACGAGTATAATTAAAATGGCGTCCCCAGCTGTTTTCATTGGCGTAGACCTTTTTAATGGATACATCGTCCTTCTATAAGGTATTAATTATATGTCATTGGTCATTTGTAAATAATTTTTTTAAATAATGATACGGGTAATTAAAATGGCGTCCCCAGCTGTTTTCATTGACGTACACTTTTTAATGGATACATCGTCACTCTAAGGTATGAATTATATGTCATTGGTCATTTATAAATAATTTTTTTTAAAATAATATTACGAGTATAATTAAAATGGCGTCCCCAGCTGTTTTCATTGACGTACACCTTTTAATGGATACATCGTCATTCTAAGGTATTAATTATATGTCATTGGTCATTTATAAATAATTTTTGTCGTAATAGTTTGCAAATAATTTTCTGAAACAAATTTCAAAAAAATATATAATCTTTCAAGGCCGGCAATTTTTGAATATTTTAATTATTTTAGTTCGTCCAGATATCTTGACCAAGATTTTTTGAGGTCTTATTGATTCCTTTATTAACCGGAAATTTAATAATATTTAAGAAAAAGGATGTAAAGAAAATATTTAAAACAATAAAACATTTTTTTTTTAAAAAAACAAACCAAGAAACCATAAAAATCCAAACAAACAAAAAAACAAGATTTTAAAAATGATTTTATAAAGATATTAATTAACTTTGTATTATTTTTTCCTTCAGTTTACGATGCAAAAGAAAATATTTAAAGTTAGTTACAACTTGAGGTCTGCACTGTGCGGGGTTTCGGACCATATGCCTGCCCACCCAATGTTTTAAAAAAAATTTAACCCGCCCATCCAGCCCCACCCGTTAGTTTAAAATCCCTTACATGCCGGTCCAACTCTATAAACATTTATTTATAATTATGGTAAATAGTATGGTATTAAAAGATTCAAAATACAAATATTTTTTCTCTAATAACACAATTTAACAAAATGAACGCAAATCATAAAAGGTTCACATTTTGCTAAATACTAGATTATTTATATTTAAGATTAAAAAGAAATTGTATAATAAATTGATAGGTTGGTTATAAGAATGCTTGCGATAAAATGAAAAATTTTGCAATTAGGATGCTGTGAAATAATATTTTTCCAATTTTTCTTTCTTTCTTTCTTTCTTTCTTTCTTTCTTTTCTTTCTTATTCGCATTCAATATAATTTAGAGTAAATAAAATATAAACAAACCACTTTAAAAAAAAAACTTAAATAATATTAATTCCGAATGCGCAGCCCGAGTTGATGCACGAACGGGTCACCCATTTGCTAGAAGCCTTCGGGAATTTTCAACAACGACTGAATAAGCCCAAAGTTTGGGATGTCGCCATTTTGATGACGGGATTGGACGTTTACGCTCTGGCTAAACGATTGGGAGCCACGAATAAAGTGACAATCGCGAAAGCCATATTAGGTTAGGGCGTTTAAAAAAAAAGATGATTTTTATAAACGTTTAATTAAATTAGGGCATGCGCATGCGCGTTTCTATTTGCTTCTATTAAATAGCGCACGGGGGGGGGGGGGGGTTCAAGCTAACTCTCCGAAAGTTTTTTTGGAAAGGCCTTTAAAAAAAATATTTGGCTAATTTTAGATAAAAAAAAATTTCTTCTTTTTTTGCCTCATTTTTAGAAACCTTTTAAAAAGTGATCTATTTAGTAAATTCTGAGTTTAACTTTTATAGCTGGAGCGATTATTATTTGTTTTCTTAGGGTCAGAGTATTTTCTGGAATTCCTGAACATCTCCTGTATGTTTCGGGAATTTTTAAACAAATTTATAAATATAGTTGTGTGACCGCGCCATAGCTGTTTGAACATTTTGCATTTTCTCTTCCATAATCGAAGAATAAAGATTATCATAAAATTATTTCTTGACTTATTAAAAATTAGACCGACCACCTACCAAAAAATAAAGGATTATCCTGACATGACTTTATTGAAAAAATACCATATTAGCAATTAGAATTCAGGATTAGGCACAAAAGTTAAGAACACCCTAAGCAGAAATCCCTGTTAGCATAATATATATATATATATGACAAAATGGTTTTTCTAATGCATAACAATGAAATACAAGGATACGCTTATGTGGGTTCAATGTGCGACTCCAAATACTCGGTTACCATATCAGAAGGTAAGGGTTATAAACCCGTTTTCACCATAACTCATGAATTGGGTCACACGTTAGGACTGGAACACGATGGGAAAGACAACGATTGCGAGGATTGGAAATATATTATGGCATCTAGATTGGCTCCGGGAATATCCACCTGGTCATCTTGTTCCAAGTTGAGGATCCAAAAATTTATCGAGTATACGGATCATATTTCATTCCATTTTGAAAATTATGGCATATTTTGATTAGGCTTTGTGCATTGGAAGAGAAACTATGCTCAATAGGAGGGCTAATCTATGGCTGGCCTATAGAACTCCAAACATGTTTAGGAATTGATATTACTTAAAAGCGATATTTTTTTTCCCTTCTCATTATCTCAAATATTAAGTAGCTTTAGCCTTGTTAAAAAGTCCGATTCTCTTTGATTTTAAAGAGACTTCTCCATTAAGATTATAACCAAAATTACATCATGTAACCCCTAAAAATTTTGCTCAGAGCCTTTTAACAACACTAAGTAACTTCGTTAAATTTCTTCCCAGAATCAAAAATTTTAGGGAAAAATTTTACATTAAGAAATCTCGCGAACACAGTGTGAATAAGGGGAAAAAAAGAGATAAACAATGTCGACTAGAGATCTGTTTTTTTAAAAAATCGGGTTCGGGTCGGACCGGGTTCGGGTCCGGGTTCGGGTTGTGCCGGGTTTGAGTAATTAGGCCCGATGCAGATCACTAATGTCGACTGTGAATTATTACCCCTTCTTGCCCTATTCTTCAACATTATATAATTTTGTGGTGCTATTAAGCAGCGGCGTATAGCGTATCGTTTTTTTTTTCTGAACAACGCTTTCGTTGTTTTTGAAAATGAAAATGGCGTGCGTGTAAAAAAATTGCACTTTTTGTTAAAATAGATTATTTTTGAAATTAAAACGCATTATTGTTTTTCTAAAATGTATGTTAACACTACAACAACAGTCATTTCCGATGCCTAGACGACGAAGTTACCAATTACGAAAATCACATTAGAGATCCGGAAAAACACGTGTACCCCGGCCAGAGAGTAACGGTAGACGAGCAATGCGAGGCGGCTTACGGTAAGGGGTCAAAATGGCTATCCGATCCTAGATACCCACTGGAGGTTTTCGTAAAAATTATATTTTATTTGGCCATATTCGTGATAAAACAGTTCGGGGACCCCTCGTTTTGTCTTCTCTTTAGATAATGCCCCTTTTCGTAAATATTTTTCCTTTTGTATAATCATAAACTTCAGAGAATAATATCTAAGTATCATTTTTTTTAAAAATATATAGAAAATGAGGTAATTATACGATCAAGTTACTTAAAATTAGTTTAATCTTACCGTTTTTACTGTAAAATAGGCTTTCATTATGATATATTATTTGTGTATATATATATATGTGACGTATGGGGATTCGGAATCACTCAATTTTAAATCATTTGCTAAGTGCGATTTTTTGGATTTTAAAAAATATCTGATTTTACAGGAATTGTATTCCAGCATGGTGCAGAGTATTAATACACTATAAATTTCAGCCAATTTCAGCGATAGACATTTTTTTGTATTTTTTTAAATTTATTATGAAAAATAATCCATATAATATAAAAATTAATATAAATTAGAAGTAGTTCTAAAAGTTCGTGGCTATATTGTTTGAAATTTACAGTTTGGTTACTCTACCCATGCTAGAACACATTTCCGGTTAAATCGGACTTTAAATTTTTTTTAAATCGCTCTCGGTAAAGGATTTAAAATCAAGAGATTCCGAATCCCCACGGATACCGAATCCCAATATGACATATATATATATATATATACTTTTCCTAAACCCTAAACTATAAAAATACAAAATAAGTATATATACTATATAAAAAATATATATACTTTCTAAAATACGTTTCCCAAAAGAATAATTCTCCTTTTATTTCGTCTGAATAACAACACGTGAGATCTAAAACAAAGAATAGTAAATGTTATCTATCCTTTTATTTTCGAAAAATCCATTTTACATGTATCGACAGATACAACAATACTTATTACTTTATTCTAGACTGTTTGCCAGTTAGTCAGATGCACTCCACCACATGGCACCTATATCGTTGTTGAACTATTGATACATCCAGCCTTGGAAGGCACCTTTTGCGGGCAAAATAAAGTATAAATTATATTTGCGTCTATCATATTTAAAACATTTTTTTTTATAAAAAATAATAAATAAATCAGTGGTGCAGAGGTGGGGATTGTCTTAATTATTCCGGAAACGCGTTGATAAATGGAGGCTGGAACCATTGGATCAAAGGGGAGTGCACATCGGAATCGTCGTGCATGAAATCTACTCACTATGTCGGGTTGAGACGTTGGAAACGGAACTGTTCTAACCCTGTACCTCAAAATGAGGGTAAATATTGTCGCGGCATGGAATTTGCCTTCGAAAAATGTCAAATCAAAATCGGACACAATGTCACCAACTCTACTACCTCAATGATTTTGAATCCTAGCTCAGTCCATACCGATGATGAAACGCCCGACAACATGTGTTTGCGTCTTAACCAGACCGCCAAATACGATTTGGAGGAGTACATTCAAGAGAGTTGTCTTGTCAGGAATCTGACATCGGAAATTCCACTTAAAGGATACTACTTCAACGATTACGAAGTCAACGGTATTTCGTACACCCCTTTCCTGTACAAAGGCGGGATGATCAAATTTAAATTGACGTCGGAGGACAGGGAGGGTGTCGTCAAATTTTCTAAACCCAATAATTACAACGATTATTACCGATCTTACGTGACAAAACTGGGCAACAAAGATAAATTCAAAAATATTTGGAGCATCGGTAACGATATAGACGATATTCGAAACGCGAACACGCTTAAAGGGTCTGCCTCACGCGCGAGAAACGCTAATTCGGATGGCGCCAAAAACGCTGAAGATATATTATACGATGATCAAAAAGGTTAGACTTTAGCAAAAAACAAAAATTTAATATTTATATATCAAATCTTCGAATTTTTTTTTTAGTCTTTAAAATTTCGCCTTGCACGTATCATTGCTACAACACGACAAATGACCAAATCGAAAGTTACACTTTACCCGATGGCACACTGTGCCAAAATGGGACATCCTCATTGGATAATGGATCGAACGCGCGAAAATATTGTGTCGGGGGAGAATGTCTTCTATTGGTTAGAAAAACCCCAATAAAATTGATAAATTTATAAGTTATAAATTCTCGTTTTAATCTGTCAATTTTAGATCTGGCAATATTTAACCTTCTTTTTTTATAAAAGGAGGCGATTGACGGTGCTTGGGGTCCATTTAAACTGGAAAAAAGCTGCGAAAATACGGAGTGCATAGTTAACAGCGTAAACCTGAAGACCTTCAAACGGGCTTGCGATAACCCATCGTAAAATAAAATATTTCTTGTTTTGAACAAATATTGCAGTGTATATAATTCGAAATTTAAAGTATATATTATGCCTCAGTGTTGTTAAAACAGTTCGATTTAAGCCCACCCCCTCCTTTTTAAGAAAAATGGCCAACTCAATATTTTAGCCCAGAAAAACAAACATTAGCCTAAAACCCCTGGAGGTTTAGCTAACAGATGTTCAAGCCTTTGTGCCATTATCTATGAGAAAAATGTCTTCTGGCTTGGGAAAACATTTTTCTGAATAGAATACCGAGTTACAACACTTATTTATGCTTATCATTATATAAATAAGATATGTTCCAATATGGTCAAAACACGGAGAAATTACCTTTGAGTTAATTGGCTTTGTTTTATATAAGTAATTTTTCAGGAAAATTTGCAATATTTATATAATTTTATTTATTTTTTTGTTACGCTTTATAACCCCCCAAAAACGCAAAGCCCAATTAACGGCGGGAAAATTTGCAAAGGCGGAAATTTGCTCTATCAGATATGCGAAAAAAAGGTTTTTTTTTTTTAAATTTAATTTATTAGAAAACTACATTTTACAATTTAAACGATAAATTAATGATATAGCGAATAAAAGAGTAATTTTAATTTTATTTTTTTAAAGTTGTCATTATAATTATCGGAGAACGTGCAGACCTGGCTCTAAGCACGGCCTAGCCCGGCTCTAAGCATAGCCTAGCCCGGCCCTCGAACGGTCCGTGCAAATCTGCAGGTCTCTGATAATTAAATGGACCATCATGTGCGTGTCATAATGGAAAAATAAATGATGCATGCACTCGACATATTCATTTATCGTATGATTCTATAACTATTGGCCAATCGTGTTCGATAAAAGTATTATCAGAGTAAGTTCTCTAAACACACTGGAGTACCCTTCACTGGAGTCATTAAAATTTCGTGAATGGGGGCCTTCAGAGGGTCACATAGTTTTTGTGTACATCGTTTTATAACTAAATATGTTTATATTTTAGTCACCACATCAGGTTGCAGAATTATTTGCTTAAGGGAAAGGGGGGGGGGGGAGTGGTTGTCTGAAAGAGCTCTGATATTAAGTAGAATAATTATAATAAATATTTCAATCTAAATAAACTCGAAGGTTTGTCTCAATCGCAAGAAGACTCCCAGGGAATACGCTTCGAATTTGTGTCACTTGATCTCCAAGCTCCCCACGTATGCATTTTTAACTGGAGAGGGCTTGCAGTTTTCACACATAAATCGTAATAATAATAAAAAACAAAAAAAAACTCGTAATTTCTATTCGATGGATTTTATCTCTTTACCCCCAAATCGGTTGAGAAATGTGTGTTTTTTATTTATTAAAAAAAACGACTTAAATACTTAATTGTTTTGAAATTTCACACAATTGATCAGATATCTTTAGAAAACAATGTTCTTAATCAGGACCATATACACCCTTCCTTAAAAAAAATATTTATATATATATTATAAACAATAAAATTAGATAGACTTAGGTGCGCTATATGGTGTCGAACCAGGAGTGGAGGAATGATATCCCCGTCTAGTTTATATTTCCCAGACGGAACAAATTGCCGCCGAAAGTACGAGACAGGCAAATCGATGTTTTGTCTTCGGCGTACTTGTGTGGTAATATTTTATAATTATATAGCATATGTTTTTTTTAAAACTTTTGGTATTTAACACGGTTAGTGTTGTTAAACGACTCGATTTCAGCCGGTTTTTTAAAAAACGGATAACTCAATATTTGATCCGGAAAAAAAATATTACGCAAACCTTAAGATTTTATGTTATAGATGACACTACGTTTTTGAAACATCTATTAGCTAAATTTTGTGATTTCGACTATATTTTTCTGGCTAATATATTGAGTTAGCCGTTTAACGTTGCTAAACACGGTATTTAGATAATGGTATTTTGCTTGCGAAGATTATTATGTTCTTTTTTTTTTTAAAAACAGGTTTTAGACATAGGTTTTTTTAGATTTAAATCAAATGTAAATTAATTTTTTTCCTCTTTCTAAATATGATTTTTTTGATTTTTTTTTAAATTTACAGGAGTTCAAAAAAAATGGGAAACCTTTCGCGACATAATTCGTATGATGATTTGTTTTTTAAAGTTTTTTTAAAGTTTTTTTTAGAGGATTTTAAAAAAAACTGAAAAAAAATACGATGAAGCTTGGAGTTATTATACGTGGCATAATAAAGAATAACAATCAATGTTCCTTCATAAATAATAATTTATCATACATGTATGCATATTTGTAAATATGTAATAAATATCTTTGTATATTATTTATATGTACTATTTATATACGATAACAAATATACACCAACGGTATAAAATATATATAGTATTATAATAAAGTAAATATTTGCTTTGTATAAATCAAGATGATAAAATTTTTTATATATTATTCTTAGAGTTTTGAAACTAAATCTAGCATCCTTGAAACCGCTTTCTTTCTTTTCTTTTCTTTCTTTCTTTATTTCTTTCTTTCTTTCTTTCTTTCTTTCTTTCTTTCTTTCTTTCTTTCTTTCTTTCTTTCTTTCTTTCTTTCTTTCTTTCTTTCTTTCTTTCTTTCTTTCTTTCTTTCTTTCTTTCTTTCTTTCTTTCTTTCTTTCTTTCTTTCTTTCTTTCTTTCTTTCTTTCTTTTTCTTTAATTTCTTTCTGTCATATATTTTGAAAAAACAAAATATACTTTCTTTTAGAGGTCCTGTAAAGACATCTAGGATAATTTATTAATTAAGAAAAGTAAATTAAAATACACATATAATATTATTTGCATGCTAACAAATAAATATTAAAATTTCAATAATATCAAATTCGTTCACATCTATTCATATCGTTCCCAACATACTACCAGCACCCAAGCCTAATTGCTATACTTTTCATTTTTATACTTATTTAGGCTATGTCCCAAATTTTTTCTAAAAAAAAATTCAAAATATTTTTAAAAGAAATTGTGTTAAAGATTTTGAAAATATATCAAATTTTATTAAAATTTTTTATTTTTATATTTAAAAATTGCTTATTCTATTTATTTTCGTTAAAGTTTTCGAAATTTTAAGAATCTAATTTTTTTTGAACGGCATATCAGCTCCTTGCATTTTGTTAGAACCGACCGTGAAGATTTTTTAACAGCAACAAGCTAGCGCAGGTGCGTAGCTGCCAAAAATTTCCTAAGTGGGGGCGTGGGTAGAATAGATTTTATTTTTTAAATATTTAAAATTTATTAGAATCATCCTATAAAATTTATTAGAAACAAACCATATAGAAAAATGATAATTTCGTTCACAAATAATGAAATATTTGAAAGGATAACCTATTTATAATAGCTAATATAAAACATCGTTAAAAATAGTAGATAGTACTATCTAATCCGTAATTATAAATCACAATAAAATATAGAGAAATTAAAAACATATGATGATTTTGAAAAATAATTGATCAAAATATCTTTCATAAGGCCCGTGTCCTGAATCTGGTTTTAATATTCGCAATATAAAAAATAATTTTATGAAGTTTTTAAAATTCTCTTCTCTTTTTCTCTTCTCTTCTCTTCTCTACTCTTCTCTTCTCTTCTCTTCTCTACTCTTCTCTATAACATTTGTTAGAATTATTAGGACACGTTTCTATTTTTATATTTAAAAAAAATGGCTTTAGTTAAAGTTTCGAAGAAAGTTTCCGAATTTAATTTTCGAAATTTAGGCCATAGCCCTAAATAGAAAATTAATCTTCCACTGCGATTGCGCCAATTTGTTCAATATTTATAAATTAGGTTTTAAATCTATATTGTTAGTTAATTTGTATATACAAGCTAGTCAAAATTCAATCGATTTGCTGTTGTCTTCTAAGCTTCTGAGAGAAGTTTTCATTCTCCGCACCGCAATGAAGACAATGTAAAGGCTCTCATTGGCGTTTTATTTGGGGTGGATTAATAATGAATGAATATTTCCTACACCAAAGATTATAAATTCTAAAATTAATAATTTGTCATTCAGGATTATGGCCTTCAGATATTATTTTAAGTTTAGTATATATTTAAATTTCAATTATTAATATTTAATATATTATCGTAAAGAGGGATTTATTTCTAAGTATAATTGATATTTTGTAAATTGAATAGAAACCACTTGATGAAATCACAAATCGTTTCATTTGAATCAAAAAACGTATCCCAAAAGTGGAATAAAAATGTTTATTTTAAATAGTATGATTCTTAAATGAGTTCATGTTTGCCTAGGTGCAAGTCAATAGTTTGTGAATCTCATAAATAATCCCATAATCCCATAAATCTGATTAAATTTTTTCTTCGATATTTATCTCTTAGTTTTTTTTCTAAGTTGTTCAAAATCAAAATGTATCAGCTTATGAAATATCTGGTTCAGGCCATTCGGATATTTCTCCAAGAGACGCAATCAAAATATGCTCTTTCTAGATCCAAAAATGTTGTAATAGCTTTTTGTAGAAAGCTCTTTAATTTGGGTATGCCTTTTTTTTCCTCTTGTAGCACACAAGGAAGTCCCGAAAAATAATTGTATTTAGCAAAATTCTATGCTATTTTTTTAAAGAAAAATAAATACAACAACCAAAGGAAAAGATATCTTATAAATTTTGATATTTTTTGTAATAGAATATATATCCTATTTCTATTCGAAAATAGATTACCTTGCAATTTCAAACAATTCATAAAACCTTCAAAATTTTTTCTAAAAAAAATTTTGCTATGAGGAGGGCGGATGGGGCAAGATAGACCCTCCCTCTTGCACAGGGGCTAACAGGCCCGGAATATATTTCTAGCCCGGTTTTCCGCCCACTTTGTAGTAAGTAGTATTGATAAACGGCGCATTTTGAGTCAATTTTTTAAAAACCGTTAACCTCAATATTTTTGCCAGAAAATTTGGTAAAATATGTCTAGACCTTTGTTTTTCTACTGTTAGAAAAATCTTCAGGCGTGCGCAATATTTTTTCTAGGTGATAATATTGAGTTTAGCCCTTTTTTAAAAATGTCTTTTAACGACACTCAAGTAGTAAGCTCTAATTCAATATAATTTTAATAAGGTTAATTATAATATTTTTTTTAACATATATAACTTTTTATAAATATATATAAAATCATAAAGATTGATTCTATTTAAATATAAATATATTATTTGTATTTAAATTTGTGTTATTATCTAAATTTTATGAATGTCAAACCGATCTTTTATTCTTTGTATTTTGAAACTTTTATTCTTTTTCTTTATTTTTTTAAAAAAAACCATAAAAAATACTAAAAAAATATTTTTCATTTTTTGATTATGAAAATTTATTTACATATTTTAACATGTATTTATCTATTTATCGGAATCGTTTATTCCAATTCTAAATGTTCTTACGAAGAGGTAAAAGTAAAAAATTATCTTTCTTTCTTTCTTTCTTTCTTTCTTTCTTTCTTTCTTTCTTTCTTTGTTTTGTTTTGTTTTGTTTGGTTTGGTTATTATCATTCTGCTTGTTTGTGTTAAACAGCTGAGATTTGAGCTAAATTTTTTTTTAAATTAGAAATTCGATGTTGTATCTAAGAAAGATTAAGTTCATCCGATGGGCACAAAGGTTTTTTGGACATCTATCAGCGAAAATATCTAGGCGTAGACAAATATTTATCTAGCTATAATATTGAATTGAGGCCATTTAACTAACATCACTTACCCTCTTTTCCACACCAGTTTATATACGTAAATTTTTTTTTCAGAACCAATTGGGTTCCAAGTATCTATGTTAGCGTCAATGCGTTTTTTTATTCCAAAAATGTGTTGTTTTTTTCCAATTTAAATCATTTTTTCAGCGCGTTTTTAAAAAAATTTAAAAATTCTGATCTTAACCCGATATGTATGCCGTCATGTTTTGGAATACCTATCCTATAAATTTCAAACAATCTTTCCAAGAACTTTTAAGCTCTTAATATAATTTATTATATAAAATTTCTCATATATTTTTTTTCTAATATATATAAATAAATAAATGACTCAAAGTTTACAATTCATAAGATAGTTCATCCAAACATGATAGAATATATTTCCGATAAAATCAGAATTTCTAAATTTTTTTTAAAAAAAAAATGATTTAAAATTGCAAAAATTACACATTCAACGGAAAATAAACATTATTACCAAATTAATTTTTTTTTTAAAATATATTTATAAAAAATATGTATGATATTTTAAATATTTATTTTAACAAGCCCCATCCTAGAGTTAAAATAATATTTATTTTATATATTTATTAAATATATATCTGTCTTTCTTTAATTGGAATATTAGACACAAAAAAAAATTTATATTTATTTTTCCGGAAATATATTCCAGCATGTTATCCTGCACTGAGTTTCAGTCAATTTTTCCAAGAATTTTCGAGAAAATGCACTTAATTTTTTTATTCATTTTTTATTATAGATGTTGGCGTCATTGTATATCTTTTTTTCCCGGGAATGTGTAATTTTTAGCATTTAAAAAAATAATTTAAAAATCTGATTTTACCGGAATTATATTCTATCATGTTTGTTTTAGGAAATACCCATCTCATGAATTGTAGACAATTAATTTTTCTGGTAACCTTTGAGTCATTTATTTATTTATATTAAAAAAATATATATGGAAAATTTAAATATAATTTATGTTAAGTTTTAAAGGTTTACGGAAAGATTGCCTGAAATTTATAGGGTAGGGTATTCAAAAACATGACGGCGTAAATTTCGGGTTAAAATCAGAATTTTTAAATCTTTAAAAAAAAAACGAGCTCAAAAAATGATTTGAATTTGAAAAAATAAGCACATTTCAGGGAGTTAACATAGATGTCTTATTATAATTTGAAAAATATGTATGAAGGTTGCGTGCAGATAATTGTCAGAAATTTGTTGTTGTAGTTATACTCTACACATACTGATAATACATTTTCGGTCAAATCGCACTTTTCAAAATTTTCAAATAGCCTTCAAATAACTGGTTATAAAATTGAAAAGATTACGAGACCCAATGGATTCCGTATACCATCAATACGACATATTCTAATAATATTTATAATAGGAACAATAAGTTTTAAATTATCTTTATTATGTTGATTGTGTTGTTAAACAGCTCGTTCTTTTAAAAACCCTTACTTATCAAATCTGCCAGTTATTCTTATTCTGCACAGATGATGTTCACAAAATCCTTTATAGAGACGATAAGATAACGAACCAAAAATTTTATTAGTCTCTAGTGTTATATAAATTTTATCGAAATAAAAATTCTTTTTTTAATTCAAAACAAAAAATTGATTTAAAAAATCATTAGAATATTTAATAATGATTTCTCTTGAATTCCATTTTTTAAAAAAATGCAATCCGATCACGTGTTATCTAAATTTAATTATTATCCAATCAACCTTGTTTACGTCGGTTGATTGGCATTACACAATAAAAAATATCAATATACATCAAAATACGACAGTTTTGAGCTATCGGATGATTCTATATTTTAGCCAAAAATAAATATATTGCTTCTAAGCCTTCGATAATATATTATCTAAACCTTTGTTCCTTTTAGGTGCAAAATCTTCAGGACCAGCGTAAACATTTTTTCTGGATAATATATTGAGTTAGAGCCGTTTTCTAGAAGATAGACTCAAAACTAGTTCGACATAACAAAGATTTATATCATTTATTTTTTAAAAAATTCTTAGAAATGCGATAAAGGTAAACCCGGCATGATAAATGTACATATTATACCCCACACTCACAACGATCCCGGCTGGCTTAAAAACGTGGACGAATATTATGTGGGAAGTAAAAAAAATTGAACTTTAAATAATTTTTACGATTACTTACAAAGTGATATTCTAGGTATCGTTTTCCTTCGAAGAATTTTAAATCTTGGACTAACAAAAATGGCGCATTAATTATCTCCCTTTCCCCCACCCACGGTTTAATTAACGTTGCTATAAGCATATACGGCTGGATGACCGGTCATATGCTTATATTTTTTTAAAAAATCTTAAATCTTTACTTAGTCTTGTAGCGAATCTTGGATAGCCCTTACACTAAATATTATTTCTAGATGCACAGTTTTTAAACGAAGATCTAAGAAAATTTCACCCACACCGAATTAAAAAAAATCAGTATGAAATTTTATTCTTTTTTTGAAATTTCCGAGGTAACAAAAATATCACTTTGGCTGGAGGTGTCGAGACCATCATAGATTCCGTTCTGCAAAATCTGGAGGAAAATCCGGACCGGAAATTTTCGTACGCCGAAGGAGCCTTCATTTATCGCTGGATAGTCGCGCACCCGAATCAGAAGCGTCGAATGCAACGATTAATTGATAATGGTAACATTTTTACATTCCTTGGTTTGATGTTTATTTTAGCTTCCTACCAACTAAAATTTTAACGTTTATATAATTATCCGTTCAATAGATGGCGCATTTAATATTATTCGATTTTTTTTTATGATGGTTTTATAAAATATCAAATTAGTTTTTTTTTAAAAAAAAACAACAAATCTTCATTTGATTGTTGTGCCAAAATATTTTAATAAGGTTAACATGGATTTTTCATTTCCATCGTGCAATATAATTTTCATAAAATTTTATTTTTAATATTTGGCACAAAGGAGTAATATCTTTGTTCAATATATTAATTAATTAATAATGTAATACTATAATACTATAATAAAATATTGGTATAAAGTATAAATAAAATAAATATAAAAAAAAAATTTTTTTTCGAATTAATAACCTTTATTGTAATATAAAAGAAACTAACAAAAATTGAATTTTGAATAAATCATATTTTATTTTCAGATGGAATGTTATAATTTTAAGATTGGTGAAAAAAAAAATATATTATTATTATTACTATTTAATAATTAAATATAATGACATGACATAATTTATATCATGCCCAAAATTTTATTTTCAGATGGAATGTTATAATTTTAAGATTGGTTTTATATATGTATAATTATTATTTTATTATAAATATAATGCCATAATTTACCTAATTTTATATCATGCCCAAAATTTTATTTTCAGATGGAATGTTATAATTTTAAGATTGGTTTTATATATGTATAATTATTATTTTATTATAAATATAATGACATGCCATAATTTACCTAATTTTATATCATGCCCAAAATTTTATTTTCAGATGGAATGTTATAATTTTAAGATTGGTAATATGACATGACATAATTTATATTATGCCTAATAAAAAAAACAAATTGTGATTCGATTCGATCCGTTAACGAATATAAATAACAAAATTATTCGCGTGTCGGCTCGATTGGATAGGAATCATTTTTTTTTAAAACGGCAGACTTCGTTATTATAGCCGGAAAAAAAAATGTTATAGTAGATGTCCAATACCTCTGTGTCATCTATGATCATGCGTAGGATTATTCTAAAATCCCGCTTAAATAGAGCCGAATAACAGCACAATCCGTGTAATTCAAAAATATGTTCATTTATTTATGCCAAATTATTCGCAAATATTTAAAAATTATTTTATAAGTTATATATATGTTAGCGTCAATGTGTTATTTTCGGCAATGTACACATTGCCTGATTTTTTTAGGTCAATGTGTTACGGTGGTAGGCAGGGTGAATAACCAGGCAAAGTGTACATTGCCGAAAATAACACATTGACGCTAACATATATATTTATTTCAACATCTTTTGTTAAATTTTTATTATTTTTTTTTGAAAAAAAAATTTATTTCCACAAATTCTATATTATTTTTAATTATTTATTAAAACAAAAATATCAACCATCAGGTAATTTTTAAAGCTTTTCTTTTTTTTTTTGCTTGAGTAAAGTACGCTGAATGCTACCAATGGATCGGTGCAGGAATGATCTCAAACAAGAAATTAACCTATTCTCCAAGGGATTATGATGATTCTATCAAGGCTACTTACCAGCGGAGCTGAAAATAATAATAGTTCAAGTATCGAGGATTTTAACAGATTTTGAGGATTGATGGATTATAAATTACTTGTTCTGTGGATTCGGCCTTAACTTAATCCGCAGTGTAAACTCTCTCTTGCTATCTATGAGGAGAGTGCTGCCAGAGCTGATGATAAAAAGGGTTATCGCGCAGTTAAAATAGGTTTATTAAGCGCCGTGGGCTAGCTTATTGTTGGTGAGTTGTAGCTGAAGATTTGTGGAAAGGCTAACCTCTAAAAATGAGTGTCCGGATTCATTTATTAAAGAATTGTCTAGTGGTATGCTAGATTATAGAAATTTAACGCCGCATACTAAAACTTGTCAATCTCTATCCTTCTGCCTGTAGGACTCAGGCGATGGGACGTCTTCAAAGCGACACAGGTATTACATAAAAAATGACATCTTCTAAGGAAAAGTTATTTTGAGGAGTGATATTGATAATGAGTGGACTGCTCAAAATGAAGGCAGTGAGAGTATCGATGCGTGATTTAATCCTAAACCACCATTTTTGGGTAGGCGGAATCAATCAGTTTCAATGAATTTTAGGTTCAAGATACCTTTTGGTTAGATCTATTATTCCCTTTCTTTAAATGCCAAAATAAGGTAAGAAAAATTTTAAAAAGGAGTTGCGGAACTAAAAGATATGTGGAATGTTAAATGAGTTTTTTAGAAGGAAGAATGATTTGATGAGGAACAGCAGGCCAAGAATGTCAGCAACCGTAAGAAGGATATCAAGCAAGAGTAGACTTGGACAATATTTGATAAAATTTAATATTCATTTTATTTTTAAAATACTAACTTATTTTTAAATTTATTCCTGACAAATCCTCTCATGACACTCAGCTAGCCAACATTTGATGGCACAGGAAAAAATGAATGTATACTAGAAAAAAATTGGTTACAGGAGTCCAAAACCTTCTACCAACTATGAGCAAAATCTTCAGGCTTACATGAATTGGCTCTATTTATGGTAATCATGACTGTAGCGAGATTATTCTCCATTCAACTTACTTTATCAAGAAATGCAGTAATTATGACAGATCAAATTGGAACAAATTTAAATTAAATAAATGGTCAATTATATGATAGACTGCTCTGTTACCACTGGATACCTTTTAAAAACACTGTACGAATCGAATCAAATAATGGTTTTTCTATTCCTAAGAATACGAATGAATTATTTTCTATACTATAAGCATTTTTGAAAGTCCGGTTTAATATTTTATCAGTATAAATGTCATAAGTTCCTTAATTTTTACTAAGAACTTCTTCCCTATTTTTATTTAAGGCTGAGTCCAAATATATCCAAAAAAAAAACTGGATTCGCGAACTTTTGAAACTTTGTCGAAAAAGAAGAAATATGCCTTTTTTTAACATATTAAAAATAAAAACATGTCCAAAATATAAATCTTTAAAAATTTTAAAAATTTCTGAAAGTTTTGAAAACTTTTTGAATATTTTGAAAAAAAGATACTGGAACATACTTTAATAAGGAATAGATATAATATAATTAAGATAATTATTTAATTTCTTATTATGTTGATAGGTCAATTAGAAATATTGTTAGGAGGATGGGTCATGAATGATGAAGCGTGCACGCACTATAATGATATCATTAATCAAATGACGTTAGGATTGAAAATGTATCGAGATACTTTCGGAGGTAGATATATATATTTTTTTTAAAAAGATGAATTTGTTCGAATTTAAATCATATGCTTCTATTCAATGAATATTAATATATTTACCTAGACTGACCATTTCTTTAAAATTATTTTGAAGTATATTGTTGAAAACAGATCAGCTGATCTCGGTAGATTTTAGAAATTACCCTTATGAAATTTTTTTAATAAATATTTGTAGATGACTAAATAAAACTCTGAAAACTTTTCACCTGATAGGGGGCGTAAAATGAATAAATTTTTATCCATAAATCTAATCTATTACGAATCTGATTTTTGTTATAACAAAATGCTAATTATATTACAATTAATTAATTATGATGACGTAAATTTAGAATGCGCAATACCGGAAATAGGGTGGCAAGTAGATGTATTTGGCCAATCGGCTGCTTATGCTGATTTATTAGCTAAATTTGGTTTCAGCGCTACCTTTTTTGGACGCGTCTCCGATGACGTCAAATACGTCAAATTGATTCAAAGGCAACTGGAATTTTTGTGGAGCCCTCTTCCAGATTGTAAATTTTTCCTGATTCATATTATCAAATAAAGGTGAAATTTATTATTCATCCATCATCGAAAAAATGAGAAAATTCTGATTTCCCGTCATTCTTGATGGGCTATCAGTTAGTGTCATTATAATATAGTATATTACTATTACTATCACTTTATTTTTTTAAATGTTATAAATTTTAAGTCTCGAAAATATATGATGATGATCATCATCATCATTTTCTAACTCGTTCGATTGACACGCGTCATTCAAAGGATAGTAACATCTTTGTGTCCATTTTACCCAATATCTATCAACCCCCAATGGGCTTTTGTTTCGATATTTTATGCCAAGACGATCCAATACAAGTTTTGACTTATTTATTATTTTTAAAAATAATTTTATTATCATTTTAAAATCAAGATATTTGCCTCCCTTCCCTCTCACGATAAAAACAAAAAATCATATGATAAATCAGGATTTATATATTTGATCATGACAGGATGACATCCATATGACGGGTTACAATGTTCCACAAAAATTGAAAGCTTTTTTGGATATGATGCTATCCCAGGCCAAGTGTTACGATACCAACCATGTTATAGTAACGATGGGGAACGACTTCACTTACCAAGCGGCACAAAATTGGTACACCAATCTCGACAAGCTTATCAAATATGTCAATCTACAAGTATATATAGATTTACCCTTTGGGCCGTGTATATTTAATAGTCAGATAATGACTCTTTTAAAACTCATAGATTGTGTCCTGGTTTGTTTTATTTTTAAAAGTTATTTTTTCTATTTAGACTGGTCTTACTAAAATTTTTGAACTTAAGGACATTCTATTGGTTTCTTTCCATTTTGTTTAGAGGAAGTTGCATATACGCATATATATATACAGCTGATCATATCTCTCTGTTTAGAAGGTAAAACTAATAAGGGCAGTCATAATGTTTTATTTCTTTTAAATTAAATCTCAGTGACACCGACACTGCCGTTCACAGTTAGCGAGACGCGGAGAAGTATGATAATAATTTTAACATTCATTTTGTATCATATACTTCAAAGGCTGGCGGTAACCATGAACGCGGGGTTTATGCAAGTTGGAAATAATTTTAAAATTAAGTTTAAAAAAAAAATCACAATTAGCGTGCGAAATGTCACTTCAAAAAAAAAAAAGAAGAAGAGTATTATCGAGAATATTGTGAATTTATATATACTTTTTTTTTTCATTTCCGGAAATAATCAGAGGAGTTTAAACGATTCGGACATCAGATTCAACGTCATGTATTCCACCCCCGGTTGTTATATGTACGCCCTGCGCAACGCGAAAATCGGCATAGGCGACCAGCGAGATCAACCTTCAAAACCAACAAACCTCAAATCTTATACGGACAATAATGACGAATGGGAACATAACAAATATTCCCAAGATTATATAGACGAGGTCTTATTTGGCGGGAAATATGGGAAATATTGGCCCGCGGTTCGAGAAAGTACGGACTTCTTCCCGCTCGTGAATTATAAAATAAACGTGTGGACTGGTTATTACGCTAGTAGGCCTACGTTTAAGGGAATGATCAGGGATACCAGTCGATTTTTGCAGGTAATTTAGTATATATACCAAAGTTTAAAACTTGCACGAAAAAGGTAACCCGGGTTCGGTTACGGTTTTTAAATTCGACCCGGTTTCCAGGGTTCCAAAGTCTGGTTCGGTTTAATTTGAAAATCCCTTAGCATTACATTGTTAAATATATATATCTAGGCGCTTAAAAAATGAACTTATTTCTAATTTAGATTTGCAAGCAGGTTCAAGCATTATCAAGCTTGAATATCTACCAGGAAGATGTGACCAATTTCGAAAGGTCTCAAGCTTTAGCCCAGCACCACGACGCCATCACCGGAACTGCCAAACAAGCAGTCACGTACGATTATATTAAGAGACTCCGCCAAGGACAATTGGCATGCCAGGTTTCTAATCCTGCTTATTATACCTGGATTTTTCATCGAGTGTATTTTTATTTGTATAGTCGGTTATTGAAGAAGCATTTAGGAGATTATTAGTGATTAAACCGAAGCAAGTCATTCACTTTTGCCCTCTTCTCAATATTAGCGTATGCCGCTTCACTCAAACTAATACCGAGGTCAGAAAATTTTTATTATCACATCATTTTTTTTTTAAATTAAATAAGTTGTCGCGTTTTTAAACGATATAATAATAATTAATTAATAAAAAAAATTTAAACCCTCCCCGTTGGTATTCATAATAGTTATTAGTAATTAATTTTTTTTAAATATCTTTCTTTCTTTCTTTTTTTCTTTCTTTCTTTCTTTCTTTCTTTCTTTCTTTCTTTCTTTCTTTCTTTCTTTCTTTCTTTCTTTCTTTCTTTCTTTCTTTCTTTCTTTCTTTCTTTCTTTCTTTCTTTCTTTCTTTCTTTCTTTCTTTCTTTCTTTCTTTCTTTCTTTCTTTCTTTATCATTGGTACATCAAATTTTAGCATGAATAATATAGCGCTTAGTCTAGTGATTTCGGCGTAATAGATGTCCAAACCCTCTGTGCCATCACGAGAAAAATCATCAGGGCTTGTGTGAACATTTTTTTCCTGGATAAAATATCGAGTTAGAGCCGGTTAGCAACACTATTCCTCACATACTTTTGATTTTTGATTTGTTTTCTGATTATTTAAAACCTTCGCTAACCATGTGGAAAAAATTTTTAAAAGTGTCTTCTAGAAGTTATCAAAAACACACATATTAAATGATGTGTTATATCTCTATACAAAATAAATTCATATACAAATTTAATTATACCCTCGACATGTTTTTTGTTCAAAAAAAAATTATTATATCTAATAGTAAAACAAATTATAAACCAAAATTAAAAAAACTACATTTTTTTTTTAATCCTTATAAAAAAAAAAATTAGGTGTGAACAGCAAATAAAATCATAGAAATTTATTCTTATCAATGAATAAAACAACTACAATTTCCAATATATATTTTTTAATTTATCAATTCAAATCATATATAATATAACAAAATAAATTTTAAACTTGTACAACTATGCTGACAAATAATAAAATCAATCCTTAAAAAAATTAAGGGAGTTGGTTTTCATATGATCACTGTTATATCTCTAATCCATAGTTAATTGTCCATCTCTTGATGTTTTACACGCATATCATTCATATAATATTGTGATAAATATATATATATATATATATATATATAATTTAAATATATAATCTACTACTAATCTATATTATATAAAGTTATATAATATATAAATGTAAAAATACACAATTTTAACAATAAATATAAAACATTAAAACGATTTTTAACTCGAAAAATATTAGTTTATATTTGAAATCAGGCCTAAAAAAACTTGTCATTAATCAGCGATATCTCAAAATGTAGGAGAGCCAGGGTTTCAGCTGACCAAGGGCTGCTGCATGGTGCAACCTGATTTATTTTAAAACTAAATTGTGTTATTTAAAACGGCTTTGATTTGAGATGATTTTTTTAAAAAATAACCAAAATCAATATTTTGTCTAGAGAGAATATTCCGCTAGCCCGAAGATTTTTGTTTATTAGATGGGCACAAAGGTTTGGACATCGGGTGAAATCTTGAGGACTTGGAAAATATTTTTTCCGGCTAAAATAATGAGTTAACGGTTTTTAAAATTCGGTTCAAATCGAGTTTTTAACAACAGCGATTATAAATAATAATAAGAGCTTAAGAAACTCGTAATAATTATACGATAAGTATTAACTATTTTTTTGCATCGCCGCGGAAAAATCTATGCGCCCGCCCTGCTAAGGGTTCAACGGAAAATTGACGCAAGATTACAAGAAGTCCGTTTGCTACCAGAGTTTAATATTATAAAATTAAAAAATGATCGTCGATTAGCTATTAAACAAAAATGGACATAAATATATAAAAACATTTTAAAAAAATTTTTTTTAACCAATCAAAATAATCGATAATCGCGTCTTTATATATTTAAATTTTCCTTAGCAATTAAATAAAATTTACTTTTTTTATAAAAAATATACAAGTATGATGTATTGCTATTCAATCCATTGGCATGGGATGTTGAATTCTACGTGAACTTACCTATCAGAAGTATACATATACAAGTTCGTGACGTTCTTGAGTCGCCTATCGATTTTCAGGTATCTAATCTTATTTATTTTATTTTCAAAAATATTTTCAATAAAATTTGATCAAAAGTTCTGTTTGTCAAAAAATATTCGGTCAATAATCTTTGATCACTTCTTGAAGAGAATTGTTTAACTCTCTGGCAACTAATACTCTCAAGTCATTCATTGTCATTGACAGTTAGACGTCATCGAAAAACATTTGGTTTTAAATGCCCAATGATGGACATTTATATAGTATATGTACAAGCTTTTTAATATTTTTAATTTAAAGAATCATTGGCCTAATTTAGTAATTGCTGTCATTATCTACATCATAAGTTGATTACGCTGAAGTCAATCAATGCCATTGTCTATAGTATAGATATCATCGAAAAAAAACATTTTTGTTTAAATGCCAATGGCGGACATTAATATGGTATATGTACATGCTTTTTAATATTTTTAATTTAAAGAATCAATAGTCTAGTTTAATAATTGCTGTCATTATCTACATCATAAGTTGATTACGCTTAAGTCAATCAATGTCATTGACTATAGTATAGACATGATCGTAAATATATTTTTTGTTTAAATGCCAATGGCCTACATTAATATAGTATATGTATACTCTTTTTAATATTTTTAATTTAAAGAATCATTAGTCTAGTTTAGTAATTGTTGTCATTGTTTGAATCATAAGTTGATAATACTGAAGTCAGTCAATGCCATTTAGTTAGACATCATCGATAACATTTTGTTTAAATGTCAATTGGCGGAAATTAATATAAATGTATATGCTTTTTAATATTTTTAATTTAAAGAATCATTGGTCTAGTTTAGTAATTGCTGTCATTATCTACTTCTATATTTTCATTCTTTTATAATTATATTTTTATTAAAACCCTTCTCTAAAAAAAAACATTTTTGTGTAAAGCTAAACTTTGACGAATATATGGTATTATATAAAATATTTATAAAAAATAGTAAATATATAATATAATTTTATTTTTAAATCTTTTTTTTAAATTTTGGCGGGAAAATAATATGAGAGCAGATTTCGACGGTGCCGTCTTCCGTTATCCGCGTACCAGAACGGTATTCGGGTGAGAATAGAATGATCCCACAGTGCAACATCTCTTTAACATTTTTAGCCCAAGTTCCGGCCCTAGGTACAGTTAGATATTCAGTTCTTTCAAAAATTATGACTCCTGTCAGTTCACACATCGTTCACCCTTTCTTCCAGTAAATCATATATTCGGGGCATATGATTAGTTTTTAAACAATTTTATAAATGGGTAAGAAACAATACAAATTAGTCGGTGACAGGCGCCAATTTATATTATACCTATAAAATCCAGTCCTGTATTGGAAAAACCAAGATGGCGCGTCATCATCTGATTTATATACCCCGCTTCCGCTTCCGCTTTCAAAATTTTAAAATGTCTAGAATTATCAGTTTAGAGGTTGAGTATATTATATGTCAACATTTGAGTTTAAGTAATTTTTTATATATTTTAATCCGTGCCTCTCTATCGTGTCAAATGTACAGATCAAAAAAAAAAGAAAGAAATTTTTCTAATACGGACCAAAAAAAAAAAAAAAAACTTTAGCAAGAAAAGGAAAAAAATTCCTATTTAAAAAAATCGATTTTTTTTTGTTTCGTTTCATGTCATTCATTAATAAAATATTTTACCTTTTGTCATCCTTTTCTCAATTTTCTCTAAGTTGGTTCCACAAGGGGGGGGGGGATTTCTATTCGCTATCCGCTATCCGCCTTCACGCCTGCACTAATAAAAAAAATCGAGCCCATTGACGAATCATATTATATTTCTATACCCGCACACGCCAACTATCCGCTCTCACTCACGAAAAGCCAAATTTTTATCGCGCCGTTTTTGTTTTTGTTTTTTTTGTTTTTTTTTTTAAATAATTTTTTTTTTTATTTTACCGATAATCTTTCTTTTATCACTTTAAAATTTATTTACAAATTCAAAAAAAAAAAAAAAAATTGATTGCAAAAAAAAAAAAGTGAGAATAAAAAAATAAAAGGATAAGAAGAAAATAAATTTAAAAGATGAGAAAAAAAAAAGAATGATAACAAATGACAAAAAAAAGGAGAGAATTAAAGAAAATATGACAGGAAAACTTAAGAAATTATTTAAATAAAATTAATAAAAACTGGGACAAAATAAATGAAGAAAATAAGAAAAATATACAAAATCTCCAGGGTCTCTTCTCTTCTCTTCTCTTCTCTTCTCTTCTCTTCTCTTCTCTTCTCTTCTCTTCTCTTCTCTTGGTAGAAATCTTAATAGGCCTGTTTTTAAAAAAAATACACAACACTAAAGAAAATATAATAAATAACGATTTTTTTCTTTTTGGAATTTGGCATATTCATTTTTTGAGCGTAAAAATTTTTCTTTTCTGATCTGACCTTTTCCTTTTTTGGTCGGAATCACTTTTCTTAAGACTTTGTAACTTTACCTTTCTTGATCGATACTTTTCCTTCTTTTGGTCCTTCTCTTTTCTTTTCTTTTCTTTTCTTTTCTTTTTTGAATGAAAATTTCTGCAACTGAGAAAAACATTACATAGCAAGAGACTGAGGATAGGGGGGGCGGGGATAAGACAGGAAATTAAATTGTATACAAGAGAAAGTGCTATATTTAAAACAGAGACCTGCAGCCCCAAGCCCGATCCCGGTCCCGGGCCATGTCGGGCCGGGCCGACCATGAAAATATTAAATCCGGGCCGGGCCGAACCGGACCAATTTTTTGTTTGCAAATGGTACCTCTCTGCAGGCCTCAGTGTTTATTAAAAGTGTCTAATAGAGGTCTGGGTGGGCTCATTCAAATAGTATGATGTTTTCCCGGTTCGACATGTGAAAATACTTTGCGCATTTTGTTCTACCCCAAAAAAAGTTATTTTTGTATCGTTTCCTTATAGTGATGCGCTGCGCCAACTTTCCAAAATTTATTTATATTTGATTCAAATTTTTTTTAATTTATAAATTATTTAGACGGGACAACGAAATAACCAATCAAATCATCTCGAATTATCTAACCCCTTCATCTACCAATCATATTACAGATAGCCCAAATAAAGACATTCCTGATACGTTTAAAAAGGATAATTTATTTATGGAAAACAAGGTTTTCACAGTTTTTATTCAAAAATTTTAAAAACTCGAATATATTATATATAAAAAAAGTTTTTTTTCATAATTAACGGGGAAAATTAGTTTTTTGAAGTTAGTCTTCGATCCTGACACCAAGCAAATGGCATTATTGACCAACAAAGTTTCCGACATAGAAGTTCGACTAAATCAATCATTTTATTGGTACGGTCAATCCTCTGCCAAAAGTTCAGATGCTTATCTCTTCAGATCTAACGCTTTGGAAGCTAACAATATTTCTTCATTTAGCAATGGAATTCAATTAAAAATAATTAAAGTATCACATATATACCTCATCAATTCCTTGTAATTTTAGATGTGTAAGTTAAAAGTATAAGTCAAAAGTTAAACGATAAGATGGTCCAAATTATATAAGAAGGAAATACATTTCAAAATCAAATCTTTAAAATCAAATTTATTTTGCTATTTTACAACTTTAAATCATCTTGGTTAGTCTGAAATGTATTCCAGCGCATGTGCAAAATAATTCCTTATCCAATTAAATTTCGGGACAATATTTTAAAAGATATTATTTCGCTTATATTGCCTGGATTATAAGCATTTTTTTTTCCTATATATATATATATATATAACTAAGAATCGCAATAATTTTATTTAAAAAAAAAATAAGATATTTTTGTAATTAAAATTCTAGGGAACTCTATTTGACCAAGCCAGACAAATATTTTCCCCTTGGCTTTATCAAGATATAACTCTCTACAAAAATGCTAATTATTTGGATATGGCGTGGACCGTGGGCTCCATCCCCATACACGATAAGATATCCAAAGATATTGTTATGAGAATTGATTCCGACATCGCGTCCTCTGTCTACAGGAGGGTACGCAGTAGTTCTAATAAGTAAATTGTAAATGGAAACTCATTTCTAAAACTTTACTTTGGCTCATCGTTAGAACATAAATAGGATGCGCAAAAAATTGTAGTTTCTCATTTAAATTATAACATTCCTAATCTTACGTTAATTATTAACAATTTTTTTTTTAACTTGTTTAAAACTTCAGCTAAATGATTTGAGAAATAATTGCTCTTAAAATTAATCGGTTAAAAATAAAAAATAAATCACACCACTGTATATTTTATATACATTTATCATTGGTTGTAATGATAGAATTCGATCTAATATTTTTGTTTAACTACTATAATAAAAATATATTTACGAGAATAAAACTAGACAGGAATAGGAGGAAGAAAAAAAAATAATTAAGATAATATGAGCTTCCCTTCCTTCCTTCCTTCCTTCCTCACTTCCTCCTTTTTTCTTTTGATATTATACGACTATATTTATTCTACAAAACTTTGTTTTTATTGAAGAAGGTTAGGTCGGTTTACAAAATTCAACAAGTTTTACACGGATTCCAACGCAAGATTTATGATGCCGCGTTCCGTAGCCAATATCGAAAACATTACCACTTTCGATTATGACTTGCTAAATTTTGATCAGGCCAATATGGGGAAGATGGATCCTTATAACTTCATACCTAAGCAGTACTATCCCGTGAATTCAAAGATTTTTATCAAAGATGAAAAAGTTTTTTGCTTTTTTTTATGAGTATCATTAGGGGATTGTTTAAAAAAAAAACGAGATTAAAAGAATTTACAATATAATAAAAAAAAACGTAAATGTAATGTAGAGAAGTGGGCTGAGAGCCGACCCTTGATGAACTCCTTCAGCTATTGTGAAGCCGGCTAAAGTACCTGTTGTGCTACGGACCATTGTTGTATGGCCCATATATATCCTGTATTAATCTTATATATTTTTTGGGGGGAACCTTTTGTCTAGCTTAGCGCCCACCAGATAAGTTTTCTTGGTATTCTATCGAAGGCCTTTTCTAGATAGGGAAAGACCATGTGTAGCTTTTTGTTCTTTTCCCTGTATTCTTCATTAACGAAATTTTTAAAAAACAACTTTACAAAAATTAAATTTAAATTTAAAATTAATTTGCTTAAAAAAATAAAAAACTTTTTTAATAAACTAAATTTGAACAAAATTAAACAAATTATAAAATAATTGTGATAAATGAACATTTCCAATATCTTTCAAACATTTTTGTTCAAAAAATTTGTGATAACTTTTCTTTTCAAACTTTTGCTAGTATATTTCTTAAGATAATTATGGTATGATTGTTAAGGTAAATTAGGGGTTTTCATTAGATTGTTAAAAAAAAAATATTTTCCCCATTTTATAAGTTTATTTTAGTTTTTTTTAAAATAATATTTTAAATAGATCTAAAATTTTCGAAGAAGGAAGGAAGGAAGGAAGGAAGGAAGGAAGGAAGGAAGGAAGGAAGGAAGGAAGGAAGGAAGGAAGGAAGGAAGGAAGGAAGGAAGGAAGGAAGGAAGGAAGGAAGGAAGGAAGGAAGGAAGGAAGGAAGGAAGGAAGGAAGGAAGGAAGGAAGGAAGGAAGGAAGGAAGGAAGGAAGGAAGGAAGGAAGGAAGGAAGGAAGGAAGGAAGGAAGGAAAGAACGAAGGAAAGAAAGAAAGGAAGGAAGGAAGGAAGGAAGGAAGGAAGGAAGGAAGGAAGGAAGGAAGGAAGGAAGGAAGGAAGGAAGGAAGGAAGGAAGGAAGGAAGAAGGAAAGAAAGAAAGAAAGAAAGAAAGAAAGAAAGAAAGAAAGAAAGAAAGAAAGAAAGAAAGAAAGAAAGAAAGAAAGAAAGAAAGAAAGAAAGAAAGAAAGAAAGAAAGAAAGAAAGAAAGAAAGAAAGAAAGAAAGAAAGAAAGAAAGAAAGAAAGAAAGAAAGAAAGAAGAAGAAAGAAAGAAGAAGAAAGAAAGAAAGAAAGAAAGAACTATCATTCACAAATATGCGATATAATATTCCATTTTAGCCCTTATTAGGGGAAGAACTTTTTTTTCGATATGAGGAATATAGTGAAGATAACTTATTATTTTTGCCACCTAGAAGAAGGATACGAAACGCAAAAGACAATTGGGAATAGTCAATGATAGGTCCCAAGGAGGCACTTCCCTAAAGGAGGGGAGTATCGAATTGATGGTGCACAGAAGAATGGTCAGCGACGCGGGCTTGGGTGTCGATGAAGTGCTCAACGAGACCGGTTCTGATGGTCAAGGTTGCTGTCACATTTATCTACACATTACATAATTTTAAAGAGTATCCCTTTTTACCCCGGGAATATTTGAATGTTATCAGCCATGGCACATATTTAAAAAAAAATAATAATGCCAGTTTCGCATCCTGAAAATTTGTATTTTAGCGTTATTCTATGAATGTTTATAAACAGGTTTAATCGCTAGGGGAAAACATTTGTTGGTCTTTGATACGAGGGTTCGCTGCAATAAACTGATGACGAAGTTGGCTCAAACAGTTTATTTGTCGCCTCAAATAATGTTTCTCACACCCGACAACGACAAACGAAATAGCTATAATAATTCTAAAGTTTTTTTTTTGAATTTAATTTAAGGAAAAAAATTAATTAATAATAAAATTTTCTAAATTTTTAGTATATTGTATTTTCTCCCCATTTAAAATTCGTTAATTTTTTTAAACCTTTATTTTTCTATGGATCATTTTAATAATTTATTTTATAACAGTTGAAGACACCGAGATCATTCCTAATCAAGGAATTACCGGCAAACCTTCATTTATTGAGCCTTTATCAATGGGGCGAGAAGCGTATTCTTCTGAGGTTAGAGCACATCTATTCGCCAGGAGAACATCCTCAATTATCAAAACCGGTTACTATAGATCTCAAAGTTTTCAACAAAAAAATATATATATTAATTTGCTAAAACTTAAGAAATTTTTTTAATATTTAAGTAAATAGAATGACCGGGGTTCTATGGTCAATGGGGTTAAATAGGTAAAACTCTATAACTTTTTGCTTTATCTAGTGTTGCTAAACGACCTAACTTTAGTCAACTATAAAAGAGCGTAGCTATTGTTTTTATCCAAAATTATTCGAATCAATCTTCAAGTTGAGACTAGAGGCTTAAATTAAAATTTTTAGGCTAAAAATTTAACGCCACAGTAGAGATCGTCAAAGTTTAGGTAATTTAACAACGCTAGCTTTATCTTTAAAGCAAATTCAAAAATTATTTTGAACAATAATAATAATCCTTTATTTTAAAGCACTTTTATACTTAGTGTTGCTAAACAGCCTCGTTTTGAGCCGATTTCCAAAAACGGCCAACTTAATATTTTAAGCCAGAAAAATGTTGCCTAAGTCTCAAGATTTCGACGATATAATGTCTAGACCTTTTGTTCCTTCTAATGAGCCTAATCTTCAGGCTTGGGTAATATTTTTCTGAATGTCTCTTCTCTTCTCTTCTCTTCTCTTCTCTAATGAGTTAGCTGTTTTTTAAAAAAAATACACTAAACTTTTTACAAAGAAATTTTATAAATTTTAAAGAAGTATTGTTTATAAAAAACTACAGAATTAATATGGGTCGAAGAATTTTAACTTCTACTATATAAATAATTTAAATAAAAATTTCTTATTAAATTTGTTAAAGACCCTTTTCAGTTACTTTTGGGAAACCGATATTTTTAACAAGTTTTTGAAATGATTTTTTTCGCAAAATTTATTATAGGAATATAAAATAGTTTTTGTAAGCTATTCAAATTAGTGATCTGCATCGGGCATAATTTTTCAAGCTTGGTCCGACCCAAATTTTTTTTAAATAAGAGAAATAAACTTTCATTATTTATGCTCTAAAATGAAAGATATATATGTTACGTGGGCGTCTAGTTTCTATAAATAAAATCAATTTTTTTTATTAAAATTTCCAAGGTCCGTTCCGGCCGGACCCGGATTCGGGGCGGATACGGACCGGATCTACTTTTGCATATCTCTGATACGAATATAATTTGTTATAAGTTCATTTGATAGTATATGGAACTAGGCTCAAACATACATTTTTTTCTTTTTAAACATTCGAATAAGCGTATATTCTCGACATTTACTGTGGAATCATTGATAGAAACGACGCTTGGGTGCCAACGAAAAATTGAACGACGTTAAAAAGTTTGAATGGCCAACCGTGAACAAGAGTCGTTTTCATGATGATGTTGACAAACCTGAGCGACGAACAAACTCTTCCACCTCCTATATCACCCTTTACCCCTTGGACATTAAAACATTCTTATTAAATGTTTCGTTTTTTATAAATTAGATCAATTATAATGCTATAATTATAATTACTAATTATTTATATTCGAATTTTATACACACACAAAAAAAAATACAATATTACTTTATATACTATATATAAAATCATATATATATCTATATTATTTTTGTTTAGGAGTAATAAAATGATTTAAGCTGTGAGAGTTATCGCGTTTACGACCCAAATTTTTTATAAGGTCGTTGTGTGTGTCCAACACTTGTTTTTAAAAATTTATGTTTTTATTCAATAAAAGATGGAGTAAAGCGATCGCCTATAGATATACCATCTTCTTTCGATTTAATAAATTTTATATTTATTTCTTTCCTTATTTTATATTTATTTATTCCTATTTTATATTTATTTTTTCTATATTTTCTATTTATTATTTTCTCTATTTTCTATTTATTATTTTCTCCTTTTTTTCAAAAATATAGCATTAAACTTTTTAACCTTAATATAAAACAAAGTTTAGTCACTGATTCACAATTTTATTAAACAATGTTGGTGGTTTTGTTCCCTATATTTTAAATATAAATATAAAAATATAATATTTTTATATTTTATATTAAAATTACAAAATTATAATTTTTAAAATATAAATTTAAAATGAAATATTTATATAAAAAAAAAATAATCATATGATTACCCATAAACGGATAATACAAATCATATGTTTCGCCATCTTTTTGAGTATTTTTAGCATGTTTTACCTGAATCTGAATCAACATTCACGAAAACGTTTCAAGTTCAAATTCAAATTTGATTATAATGATCATCGAAGTACGCGTCACGCGGATGTCAAGACAAACGGCGAGATCCTCCAAATGCGGAATATTTTTTTAAAAGCGGAAAATATTAAACCGATTTTTCAATCATTCTTTAATAGTAAAAATTTTTTTTAGTATCATTATTATTACTATCACAGACCCGAAGAAGTACTACCATCTGGACGGCCCGGCCCGGATTTTTTTCAAATATTTTTCCCGACCCGGCCCGACCCGGTCGGTTTGATTTGGGTTGACCAGGTCTGCAGGTCTCTGATTATTAATATTCTTTTTATATAATATTGGGACTATTTTTAAAAAATGTTCATCTATATGTAAAAAAAATATTATATTATTAAAAGATTATGGAAAAGGATATATATGAGAGATGTAGTAGGTATTCACGAATTTACCAAGTATATAAATGCATTACTTTCTTATATTGTTAAAAATAACCTAGGTTTCCAGGGATTTCTAGGAATTTTTAATAAAAGACATTTTTATGATTATTCATAAACCGAAATATTACACTTTCTTTGAACATTTATCCAGTAGGAATGAACTATTTTTGTAAAGTGGTCAGGGTTCTTACTGAAGTCTTACTTACACAATAGAAACGAGCTAGCACGCTTTTGAAAGGCTCACAAAATTCTTATTCATTTTAGGATATTTAGGGTTATAATATACCCCGTTAAATATAAAATGGAAAAATTATTGTTAAAAAAAAATAAAGCGTCCTAAGCGTTATTATAAGATTACAAAACGCTATATTTTTTTGCGTTCCATCTTGATACATATTTTTTCAAATTTTTTTTGTATAGGAGGTCAATTTCGAAACGACAAACGTGATAAGAACGTGCGGTTCCACATTGCCCCTTGATATTAAGGTAGAAGAAACTAAAAATGTCACTCAATTTATTTTGACACATTTAATATTTTTATAGCCAATCAATGACCATGAAATGAGATTGATCTGCGGGGAGATTCAAAGCGTGGCTCAAGTTTGTTTTTATTCTATTTTTTGGATTTTACTACTTTACTTCTTATAATAATTATTCTACTAATCTCTTAAATATATATTTCACAAATAAATATTTTTATATATGTATATGATCATCAAAATTTGCCAGGAAATATCTTACAAGAATTATAAAAAATTAACAGCGATACAACAAGAATTGGCCATTTACCTTCAAAGGTTAACATAAATATGTATATAATTATAATAACTTTTATAACGGCGAATAACGTCGCTAAAACCGGTCGGACCTAAAAAAAGGATACCAATTATATAAATCAGATGCCTAACAGGTCCGGTCTTTGTCCGTTTGTCTAACGTTTTCCATCCCTGCCATTTTTCAGCATATTTTTGTTGAATTACTATTAATAGCAAGCGCGGCTTGCCTTAAGATTTCTGGTGGAAAATAGGCATTCTTCGATCCAGGGAAAAACATAAATTTTGAATCATTTGATCTGTTGCATACCAAGTCTATAATGCTTTTCTTGGTCAAGATGTTGTTATACACAATTAATGATAAATTTTTTTTTCTTTCATTCTTTCCCCTAAATTATTAATTTTTTTTTTATAAAAATGATATAGGAAAAGTCGCGCTTTTGAATACGATTGTCAAAGGATGGTTTATATGGGTGCCCTTGGAGACGGTGGCTGGAAAACGTGTCAAGATGAGTCCTACCTATTAAAGTCCCCTTGTCTAGTATATTCTTTCGGGTAACAATGCGCCTACATTGAATTTGAGAGATTCGTATCTAAAAAAAATAAATATTATAAACTGCTAGTAGCCTTTTACTCCATTTGCCATATGGCCCTGCCCTCGTCTACCCAATTGATTTAAGCAGATTTGATTGTCTAGAATATATCTAGCTATACCCAATATAGTATCCCCCCCCCCCCGAAAAATGTATCTCTATGCTCCGATACATTTTGAAGCAATGTTATTATTCAATTGTTATCTATTTAACCGTCATACGATTTACAATGTAGCAAGAAAATATTTGGGGCATTTTTTTGGGGGAAGACATGGCAAAACATTTTATCATCAAAGATTTATTGGCTCTATTTTGGGAGATTATATTTTTAACAAAACTAGGATTTTGAGATTTGGTTAAGGAAATGCAAGTATTTGAACTCTCTGCTGATGGCTGCGTTTTATATTCTTTTATATTCTTTCTCTATCTTTATCTTCGCTAGAGTTATTGACCATGTTATTCATCATTCATTGCGCAAAAAATAAAATTTGCCTGGTTCACGTAATATTCAATCAACTGAATTTAAAATCAAAAATATAATCTAAAATAGGTATACAGATTTCTCTATAAAAAAAATTATTTTTAATAGAGATGCCGATACTTTTTGTGGAAGTGTTTCTATATACAGATACAACATTTTAGTATCTAGATGCTTTAACAATAAGTCTGATTTTAATAATGCCATCGGGATCGATAATTTAGAATCTCTCAATTTCCTGAAAGAAATTTGGAAATTGTATACTTGTAAATTTAATCTTAGTTTTGACATTAGAAGTTTATGAGAACCGGGGCTAAATAAAAACAAGGAACTAGTGTTGTTAAATCCTTAGACTACAGTTTAGAAAACAGTATCCGAATTTAGGTCATTGAATCTAAGTTTTATAAACTTTGCCACAAAATCCGTTCCATCTAGCCCCGGTCTACTCTAAACGCCGGAATACATTTTTCGATTTAGATTTTGCAATTTAAAATATCGCTCCCGGTAAATGATTTAAAATGGAGAGACTCCGAATTACCCCCTTAATTTGATATCGTTACGACATACAGATATATATATGAATATTTAAATTAGTTTTATTTTATAAAAAATATTTCTTCCATTTCAGAATAGGGCAAGATTGGACATTCGAAAACGCCTTAATATTGCACGGCTGCCAAATACATTCCTTTGATCCTACCATTGGCTTAAAGAGTTTCGTCCGTTTTCCGTCCAATGTATTTCACGACGTCGGGATAAGGCAGGAAAATGATCCTCCAGTAGCGAAGAAGATTAAACTGATCTCGAAGCGTTTGACGGCGGATTTGAGGCAAGATGGACACCTTTCAAAGATGATCGACGTAGATGATTATTACGGAGTTATACGGAAACCCGGCAGGTTTAGGATCAAAAAGGCGTGGATACGCCCATCAAAGTCGATGGGAACTGATCTTGGAAGGGGGATATTTGATAGCGAGAAAAAAAAATTTAATTTCAAAACCGCTTCTTACAAGGACAGGTACGTGATAGAGCCCATAGAAACCAACGAGACGCGGCGGATGATATATCAAAATGGCGATTCAATTTGGTGGAAATCTTTGCCTTTCACAGATATAACGAGAATGCTCGGCCATGGTGATACCGTCATCGATATACTTAAGTTAGATATCGAGGGAGGTGAGTGGGATATACTGGCGAGCTTGCTGAACATTCCAGTTCCGGAAAATTCCGATCTGGGCTCAAGTTTTGACGGAAGTAAGACTCACACCACTAACGGTTCCTCGAACTTTAAATTGAGAAATATCAGGCAAATGCTGTTGGAGTTTCACGTGTGGGGTGTATTCTCTGAATCTATAAAGGCGTTAAACCGAGTGAAACGGGTGTTCGATGGGTTACACAATGCGGGCATGAGACTATTCTATTCTTGTGGGAACGTTGGAGACCTTTATTCAATTGTTTCTTTTGGTTGTTACAGTTTTTCTTTCGTCAATATCTCCATGTTAAACCCTACCTAATATTTAACACGTTTATATCGATACACATTTTGTCAGAAAATGAACGCGAAATAAAATTAGAAAGAAACTCAATTTTAAAATTATCTTCCTACTGGTAAGGAGTGTAAATGCATTTTTTTTAATAATAATAATATGTTCACCTAAATATCATGAAAATAGAAAACCTTTCGTTATAATTAGAAAATCCGATGGCTAAGGATATAGTGTTGCTAAAGGGCTCAGTGGCCAGAAAAATATAGCCTAAGCCTTGATATTTCGATAAAATATATCTAGACCTGTGTTCCTTCTATGAGCCAAATCTTCAGGCCTGCGTAATATTTTTCTGGAGTGAAGTATTGAGATAGCCCTCTTTTAAAAATTGGCTCAAAACGAGCCGTTTTAAACAACACTCACTGGTAAGGAAGAACAAAATGTCGAAAATATAAATGTATAAATACCATCAAAATAATTTTTTAATGTTTTACTTTGTTATTTGAATAAGTAACATTACAGGAGGTGGGTGGGGCATTCATTGTAGCTTTCATTTTGTTTTTTTTTTAAAGATTTTGTCGGAAAATGTTTTGCCACAAACCCGAGTTTGTTTATCATAAGCAATTATTTGTTTTATTTTGCTAACACTTAATTTTTTTTAAAGAAATTGGGTTATAAATTTTTTTTTTTTGTAAATTTAATTTAATATACTACTTCAGAGAAGAAGAAAGAATGAAGAGAAGAGAAGAAGAAGAAGAAGAAGAAGAAGAAGAGAAGAGAAGAAAGAGAAGAGAAGAAGAAGAAAGAGAAAGAAGAGAGAAAGAGAGAAAGAAGAAGAGAGAGAAGAGAGAGAAGAGAAGAGAGAGAAGAGAAGAGAAGAGAAGAGAAAGTGTAAAGAAGCTTATGACATTGTAATAGTTTACAATCTTTTTAGGAAACATAAAAAACTTTTAAACATTTTTGTATAATAGAAACTTATAAAAGATTTTTTTTAAAAAAAAAGAGATTTTAATTTTTATAAGGGTAAAATGTTGAGCTAAATTTTATATTCTATTCGTTAAATTTTGAAGAATAAAATATATATTCCCTAGGCAAATTTTCTTTCTTTCTTTACTATTTTCTTGATTATCTTCCATTTTTTAAAAATATTTTTTTTTCCCTTTCATATAATGGCTGCTGCATCCAAAATATCATAAAATTAAATTCGCAAATCTATCACAAACCTTAATATAGTTGAAAATAAATAAGCTTATTTTTGAATATAAAAATCAAAAACGTGTCCAAAAAACAATTTCTATAAAAATTATATAAATATAAATTTTAAAAAATTTTGAAACTTTGTGAATTTCTTTTTTTTTTATAAAAAAGAAAAAGATTTAGGACATACACATTTCTTTTTCTATTTTCTTTTATATGATGTATATATTTTTTATTTGCCTCGAAAAATGCCATTTTATTATAAATAACTTTAATTCATTTTAAAAATTCATTTAATAAACTTCTATACCATAATTTGTAATCTCTTTGTAAGTTCCTCGTCATATGACCTTTTTCATTCTTTCTTCCTTAATAAATTTGGTTATGAAATTATGATTTTTCAATTATAAAGGATTTTGAAATGAAATGTAGTAGATTTTGATATGAAGTGTTTGCTTCTTTTTCCCTTTACCCCCCAAAAATTTATATCACAATGGCTTATCTAATATTTTACTTAAGGGATGTAGAGGAAGGGGGGTGGGGAGAAGTCAAATTCAAATTATTATTTAAACAAAGATATGGAGTGAAAAGGGATGTTTATCAAAATATGTTTTTTAATTTAGAATGAACTTAGAAAATTAAATTATAATATATAGTTAATTTCTTGGGGTTACCCATCCGTTTAGCAAAAAAAAAATGGCGTGCCCTGCCAAATGAAATTTGTTTTTCAACCTTTGTAGTTGAAAATTTAAATTTTTATTTATCTAGTGGAACTCTAAGGTCATATTGTATTGAATAATATGTTATAGGTTGCCTTTGTTTAAAATCATAAAAAAAATAAAATAAATTATTTTTTTTTTTTTTACAGGGTGTAGGCAATATGAATAATAATCGGTTCATTCATTGTGTAGCAATTTTATATGACTTTTATGATTGTATTCCTTAAAAAAAATCATTTCACTGAACTCGTATTATGCCTATTTTTTCGACCAACAAATTGTCGCGTTCCCGTAAACATTTGTGTAAAATCGTCGTTTTGATCTTTCTGTCAGTTACCTCGTTCGTAGGAATAGTCAAATGGTTTGAATCACATTCGGTGTATATTCCGGTTAATCCGGCAAATTTACCGAGAAAAAACTTCAAAATCTTGCACGACGCGGACCACGGTAATGAATCATTCGGCGTTGACGATCTAAATCGATTGGAACATGGCACTCCAATTCGTTTAAATGGGTCCAAAATCAAGTACGAACGCGTCAATTATACCGACCCAGGGGTGTGCGGCGAAGTTTGCGATATAAATATTCCGGGGCGTCCCGCAAAATTTTGGCCTTTCGTGGAAAAGGATGTTGATTGCCCTTTGATGATGAAAAAATTGACCACCGCGGACAAAAAGGAATGGCCGCCACCTAAACTACCCCCCGCCGAGATGTACGACCATTTCACCATGTTTGGCCGGATGCCCCTGGAGAAGAAGATATATTATTATTTGGACAATTACATGGGCAAAACGAGGCCGATGCCTATTACGGAAAAGGAAATACACATTAGAATAACGGCGCGTGCGCTGAGAATTCGAATGTCGACGTACGGAGTAATCGAGGAAGACATCTTGCAAATGGCTTTGACCAAATATTCTCACGCCGTGCGAGATAAAGTGGGACTCGATTTTGGCAGCAGTGATCCTTGGATCTCGACGTTAGCGTTATTGAACGGAGCATTCAAAATGTACATGTTCGATTACCGGATAACCATTTCTCTGTTCGACGAGATCGAAACGTTGACGCAACGCGAGCTGTACGACATCTGGTATAAACGGTCGATAGGCGTACCATTATACGGAGCGCGTCATCCGTCGGAATTTACGACGCGTGAGTATGGGGAAGTTAAGGAAAAAGGGAGGCCACAACCCGGGTTCGATTTCGCGATATCGTTTTCGTCGATTGAGCACTCGGGACTCGGGAGATACGGCGATTCCTTAAATCCGTACGGAGACTTGGAGGCCATGGCTCAGATCTGGTGCGTGATGAATCCGGGATCTCTTTTATTCCTCAACGTTCCGTTCAATCGTAATAGGTCAAGTTTGGTGTGGAATGCTCATCGAATTTACGGTCACGATCGGTTGCAACATCTAACGGCTAATTGGAAAGTTTTGGACGAATTCGACGGTTGTAAATTATCGAATGGGCTTAATTGCGACGAGGAGACGGCTATGACGTCCGTTTTATGGGTGTTAGAGAGAGTTTGAATTAATTCGTCATATGATTTTTGTAAATTAATATGTCGTGTTAAATGAGATCAAAAAAAAATAAAATGTTTTATTTTGAAGATTATAGTACTTTTAGAAGAAGTTACAAAAATTGTATCTTCAGTAAAATGTTGTTGGTTAAAATGTATATAAGTATTTGATTTTCGAATTTTGGCTCATTTATTAATATAATAAAATATTTCGTAATTGTTCTTAAATTTAAAAATTTGCGAAAAATATAAGCGGTAACCTTTTTTTTTTCTAAGAGGAAAACGGTTTATCTAATTGATTTAAGATTTTATAGAATCAAATTCCAACCTTTATTCATTATGGCAGCCAGCCAAATTAATAAGATTTTGGGAATCAAAAAGGATGGATTTTCCGCCATATATCACATTCTAAACAAAACAAAAAATTTCTACAATGTGCCCGTTACAATAGGAAGAATTTGACAAAATATGTATAACATCATTTTATCGCCGGGGTGGTGCAGTGGTGTCTGATGAAGGCTTGTAGAACCGAAGGTCCCAGGTTCAATCCTGGGAAGGAGCTAAAAAATTTCGGGTTTTTCTTCGATGGTGTATGGCTTTAGACATATGATACGATAAATTTCTGAGCTGAGAAATGCCACCTTAGTCAACGACAGGCTTGGACAGCCGGGTGATAGGATACTTGTCCAATAAACCAAAAAAGGCCAGCTGAACTCGTGGGTCAGATGATAACGATTTCTTGGCCAGCGCTAGGATGATAGGATGATGGTAACCTCGGAGGCCGTTCAAACTCATATATAACATCATTCCCATTGCAATTTTACACGTGGAAAGGGTTCGTAGAAATTTTCTGATACAGAATTGAATTCTCTATTTGTATTCATTATATAACTAAAAATTGATTACGACACATCTCGAATGAGTCTTTGAAAATCATTTCTAGTACCAAAAAAGAAAAAAAATACCGTTATCTTGCCTTATTGGCTGCTAGTTGATTGTATTAAATCTTGTATAAAAAATATGATGCCGCACTTTAAAACACCCCTTATTAAAATTAAGTTTCTAATTATGTGGAATATAATTTAGCCAAAAAAATTGATAGAAAATCCAAATTACCAAGGAAAAGTGAATCACGCAGGCAATGCCTCACTCTTTCACCTCTTTGCATATTCCTGCATAATGTGAATTAACTGGGAATTAAATATTATAATCCCTCTAACGAAGAATGGAATTTCTATTTTATAATGATAATGTTCAAAAAAAATATTTAAAAAGTACTTGTTTTATTTTTCTCTCCTTTTATCGTTATTTGATTTAACCCAATTCCACACATAATGCTATGTTCTTCACCTTTAAAAAAAATGATAACTTAAAGCCGTTCCATGGGAATTTTTTAAGGAAATATAACATTTCAAGCAAATATATAAATGTATATATGATATAAAATATTGTTAATTTTGAATAAGCTGTCCCTATTCTCCATCGTCTGTAGATCTTGACATAATATTACAAGACAATTTAAAAGACCAGCTTTTTACTCATTTGAAAAAACCGTCTTATAAATTAACATCAACGAATTCCAATGAGAAAATATGAATGAAATTGAAACTTTTTTGGGGGGTAAAAAAAATTATCGCAAAATACTAGTAAACCTTATATTATTTTGGCAATAACATATAATTTGAGTATATAAATATATCAGGCCCGATAGGTTCATCCATTAAGTGGGGAGGACTGGGGACAGACAAAAAATTTTGGAAGGGTGGTTAAGAAATTTTTTTTTAACACCATTAAAACGAATATTTGAACACGAAATTGAAAATGTACAATAAATTTTATTTGAAAAAATGATAGATACATATAAAATATAGAAAAAAAATTATAATTATGCTCAAATATGTTTGCAAAATTAAGATTGAAGAATGTGAATTGACTTTAACTTAAAAGAAATAAAATGATTTAATGATTTTACAAATATTATATAATTAATATAGTTTAATTGTGCTTAGTATAATGTTTGTTAAGGATTCAATTATACAATATATATAAGTAAGAAAAAAAATTAAATTTTTGATACGTTTTCTATGAATTGGAGTGAGATTCAGTTTCTGATGATATAAATAACTTAGAAATATTAAATTATTACATTCAACAATAAAGGGATGTACATTAATTTTTGTATTTCCTTTTATCTCATAATTAAATAGTTTAAATCCTTTAATTATAATTATACTAAAAAATTATTATTATAATCACATTATAAAATTTAGATAATATTAAATACGCAAATTGGCGTTTAAATGAATTTAGAAAAGTTATTAAATAAGAATTTATTCTCTAAAAACATTTAAAAGGTTTATTTTAATAAAAATTAATTACAATAACACGCATGGTGGAGGGCTATTTATAATATTTAAAACAAAGTCATTCTTTGCCGGTAAAGCATATTATTAATATTACGATGTAATTATTTTGTGTCATTATGATATTCAATAATGTAACAATCAAAAGTTTTGGATTGGGAATCAAAATTTAAATATAAAAAGAAATATATACTAAAATTATAGTTGAATCCTTTATTAAATAATAATAAAATATAATTTAATAAAAAGTGACAAACATAATCAAAATAAAAGATATATTAAAGTTAATATAAGAAAAATAAAAGTAAAAAAATTAAAATTTAAGTTAACAAAAAAATTAAAACTTAAGTTAACAAAAAAATAATCATTTTTCGCATCATAATTTCTCCATTATATATCCTTTTCCTTTAATCAACATTTACATAGTCTCCCAAGCGAAAAATAAAAAGTTCTACATCCCACTTGTTAAAACTCTTAAAGTATGAAAAAAAAATCTACAATTATAGCGCGTTTTTTTTCTCATTTACATAGACGGGGATCAAAATAATAACTTGATAATTATAATAAAACATTATTTTTGTTTCCGAATTGCATAATGCATTTTTTTTGTAACGCAAAAATGCAACAAATAATATACCAGTGACTATTTAAATAAATAAATAAAAATTTTAATATTATATATCTCTATTGATCTAACAGTGTCATAGTAAATGAGTAAATTGATATAATTTCATTAATTAAATTTAAAAGACAATGTTGGAAAAGATAGATATGAAACCAAACCCCTCATTGCGAAGATTGCAAAAAAATACTTCAGTTAATTCAGTAGTAAAGTGATTTATGCCTTATTATTATTACATTATCATTATATTACCTTATTATGTAATAATAATTTTTTAGTTTGGGAGGATCACCTTATTTCTCAGAGATTATTAAATTCATTTCATGGACATCCTTTAGAAGATTATTTGCCTAGAAAAGTTATTAGAAGATGCCGACTCTTTTTTGCTAGCTCTCTGTCGATTTTTGGTCATTAGGAAGAACATCTCTACATGAGATTCCTGACAGCAATAGAAATAAATATTAATAGAAAGTATTATGATTTAGATGAAAAATTATACATTAGAAAAAGCCAATAGGTGATCAACGATTATCGACTACTAATTGCAATCAATTTTTAAATGATGCATGGTTGGGTATAAATGACGTCTCAAGTGCAGCTTTAGGAAAAGCATTTCGATCATACTGCCCGCCTTCTAATCATGGATGTATAGAGCCATTACCACACCAGTATATGGGCTGGCCGTAAGAAGAATTTGTTCAATTGACTTAATTTATATGTGGTAGAGTTTAAATTGATCTGATAAATTGTCAAATTTTATACCAAATCATTTCTTGTTACTTAAAATCATTACCATCGAGTCCTTCGTATATTATTAGTCATTTGTCACCTAGAATTGAGGGTGCACCATTCATATTTCCATTAGTTGAGAATAATTCCTATTTTCCACCTCCAATCGACTCCTATTATTAGCTATTTACCAACTATTTTATCTATTAATGATGATTTGCTATTCGAATCTCCAATTTCAGTTGACATTGATTCTCCATCTATCTCACCTTCAATCAAATCCCTGTCTAGTATTAGTCATTAATCACCTATTTCATAATCAGGAGACAAAATTCTCCACATATTTTTCAGCCTCTAATCAATTCCTCATCTAGTATAGCTTATTTATCATTCGTTTTGACGCCATCTATTATTAATAATTCACCATTCATATTCCTATCTTCAGTTAACAATTATTCTCCAACTATTACTACTTTATCATCAATTGTTAACAGCAACTTCTATTTTTTCATCCATCAGTTTCAAGAAACAGATATTGTATGTATGTTATCGAAACCCATAAATATTTTAGAATCAATACCAACGGGTATTGAAAACAAAGTAATATTTACTATAAGTAATAAAGACAATATGATTCTGAAAGATAAAGATTAAAAATTGATGTAGAGCGACGATTATGGTGGGTGCATTGGTACATCCACAGTTTTAACAATAAATTACTATAGTATAAATAACAATCTAGCAGCAGACCTTTGGTTATTAAGCATGGCTTATTTAGCAAGTCCACAATAAAACATATAATCCAATATTTATTGCAGCAAAACTGCAATCAAATCTTGAGGATTTGGTATTCGTTATTACACAAAATTGAAAAATTGTGAAACGTATAAAAGAAGAATATGCTCTCTTAGATAAGTATCTTTAAACAGATTAGTTCATCTTATTCAACGTATATTTATAGTTAAATATATAGGAACATATCCAGGGTTGATTCCACATGTAACAGAAACTACCTAGGAGTTTATATCGTACCCCAGTAAGTATAATGTGACTCATTAAGGATAAGGTGGTGCATCAGCCTCCAAAAGTGTACCAAGATTTAATAGACAACAAAGAAAATTATTATACTCCCAGGGATATCAAACAAATTCGTTATATACGATTTAACGAATTCCATAAAAATGATTCTGGTTAATTTGCAAAATTTGACCTTATTAATGAATTACCAAAAAAATATTCATAACCAATAATGAAAAAAAATAGACTATTCTAGCTTAATGGTAGATAATTTCAAAT